ATCAAACAGCAATTTTATTAGCAGAGGAAGGAACAATATTTTATTACTACAGTGAAGGATTATCGGAAGGATCGGATAGGGATCTTGATGTTATATTGGAGAGGAAGCCTCCCAAGTTTGAATTTCAAATTACAGCATTTGCTCAAAATAAGGGAAAGGAACAAATCAAAATGAAATTGAATCAATTATTACTGTTTTATAATTGTCACGTTGAGGAACCTTATTTATGCGAGCAAATTCTTGCGAAGGAGTATTTTTCTGCTAATTTATTCGAGTCGTCTGTAAATATGTCAATTGTTCAGTGGAAATTCGATTCAGAATTGGTTACCTATCATAAAGATGGAAGTATAACGTTGAAGAGTTTCACCTACCCTGATTTTGTTTCAATAACAGTGGCCCCAAACGGAGTACTTTTTAAAATATCATTCCCAGCAGTAGTTCATTCGAGGTATGTGGAATCAATCATTTTAGAAAAGCTAAATAATTTATAGAAATAACCAATCTAAATTTTTGTACATTAAGCAAGATCAATTATTTTCTAAACATTGTTATCCTGATAGATGGAAATATGCAGTTGCTATTGCACTCTATTACTACAAGCAAAGATACGATAAGGATGAAAAGCCAGTAAATGTGGAAATTATTTACACAATGACACTTCCACAAACTAAAAAGACATCAAGACTTACTGGAGAAGTGAAAAAGGGAGTTAATAATGTCACTCTATCGAGTGTCTACAAGAGTATTGCCACCCATCGACAAAATCAAAGTTGTATAGGATATTTATCATGTTGTTTGGAGAAAAATAATACGATTCTAATAGAGTATACTCAATTTATGACGTTAAAATACTTGAAAGAAGTTGTGGAATTAATATTGAACGAAGAGGAATTATATTTTCTCTCAGATATTTTCAGTTTTTTCAAACTGTGGTCTTATGATCCTAGTTATTCGAGGCCATTGTCAAAGGTGTTTGATGTCAATATACTTCCACCAGAAATATACAGCTTCTCTGAAAGCAGGAAAGGTGTAGAGATTACAAAATCATTACCTAGCAAGGAGCTTTTCCAAATAATGAAACACCTTTTCGAGAATTCTCAAAAGATGGTCGTTTACAAACCAAATTTGGAGGTTCAAACAAAGAAGAATTATTCATCTCAAATACTTAAAGAATCTCATTACAAATCAATTGGTCATTTTCAATTATTTGCCGATGGTAGAATACGAGCTAAATTTGAGGATAGAACAATTATTGATATGTCTGAAAAAGAGAAAAATAATTTTTCATTTTCAGTTTTGACTCCAACAGCAGATGTGGTACATTTTTCTGTTGATAGAGAAAATAAGGCACCAGTCCATTTAAGAAATTATGTCAATGTTGTTTTAGATTTCAGAACAGAAGCACTGAAAACCTCTGAAGAAAAACAGCAAGAAAGAAGAGAATCAATTGAATTACAACAATTAGTTAGAGAATGTTACGAATCCAATCGAATGATTCTTCAAATGAGCAAACTCAAAGCAATGCAAAACCAATAAAAACAATTAAACCAAATTCCACATTTATTTCGAATCTTTGAAAAAAAAATGCAAACTAACACACCAACATCTTCGTCCGCTTCTTCTGATATTAAATCACCAAAACATAACGATAATTATTCTCTGTATCAATATTTTTACTTCTGTAAAGCCGTTAATACAATCTTTAGCAAATGGACTGCTCTCACTCTTGCTAGACAACATTCTGCTTCGGGAGGTGATACCGATGATTTATTGGATGAATTCCAAAATAATATTAAAGAGTGGATTTCTAATGATGGTGACCAATTAGAAGTTGATGAAGTTGTACAATATATGAATGATGTTTTGGAAGAAGATTTAGGTATTGATATTCTTGATGGATCAATTAAAATTGTTTCTAAACATATTCTCATACTTTTCAAACAAATTCTCAATAATAATTTTACTGAAGTCATTAGATTACTTTCGGAAAAACAAGGAACACCATTTGAAATGCCATCAGAAGCAGAATTTGTTGAAAAGAAATTACATGAAGAAAAGGAAGAGAAAATAAGAGTTAATCACGTAGATAGTGATGATGAAGATGCTAACATGGCTGATCATAACCATGACCATGTTCATGTTAAGGAAGAACCAGAAATTGATGAAGATGGTTTCCAAACAGTAAAGAAGAAATCAGGAGGACGTAGACATTAAATGTTGATAAAATTATTATTTTTCCAAAAAATTAACAATACTCATCATTTAGAATGTAATATATTTCAAAATATTAATAATATTGAGAATTACCTCAATGGATGATGTAATTTGGTCATCATCACACGAGTGGATAATCCTTAGTTATCTATCTCAAGAAAACACGTCTATGTCTTGCTGGAAATGACGTGGAGTTCGAACCGTTGTTTGCTTGAATAAAAAATTTCAAAGATTATTTATTAAAAAAAATTCAACCTCTCTGTTCACCTTTCATTTTCATTTTTTCCGCTTCAAGCCGGTTTTGAAAAACAACAAGAGGAAGAAAATTTAATCATCAAATAATTATAATTTTTTAATAATACAAGATGGATCCAACATTAAACGAAACATCGAACGGTGTTCGTAATTCTTGGAATATTCTTCCAGCTAACAGAATTGATCAATCTCGTTGTGTTATTCCTGTTGGTTGTTTATACACTCCTCTCAAGGAAATCCCAGGACTTCTTACACTTCCATACGAACCTGTTGTTTGTAAAACTTGTAGAGGTATTCTCAACCCTTTTGCTAGAGTTGATTATAGAATTAAACAATGGAGTTGTCCATTATGTATGGATGTTAATATGTTCCCTCCTTCATACTCTGGAATTACTGAAGCTCAACATCCTGCCGAACTTCACACTGGTTTCACTACTATTGAATACAAACTTAACAAGCCTAATGCACCAGCACCAGTTTTCCTTCTCTTGGTTGATACTTGTCTTCCAGAAGATGAAATGAGATTCATGAAGGATTCTATTTTGCAAAGTCTTAATATTATTCCTGAAAATTCTCTTGTTGGTTTGATTACTTATGGAGCAACAGTTCAAGTTTTTGAATTAGGATTCAAGGAATGTAGTAAAGCTTATGTTTTCAGAGGAGACAAGGAAACACCAGTGGAACAAGTTCAAGAACAATTAGGTTTGAAAATGCCATCCCAACCACAACAAGGACAATTTGGACGTTTACCAAATCAACCAATTATTAACCCAGCCATTTCTAAATTCTTGTGTCCACTTGCTGATTGTCCTCAATTAATGGATATTATTGAAGAACTTCAAACTGATCCATGGCCTGTTAAGAGTGGTCGTCGTCCACGTCGTTGTACCGGTGTTGCTTTATCTGTTGCTACTTCTCTTCTTGAATCAACCTTTAAGGGATACGGATCTAGAATTTTGAACTTTATTGGTGGTCCATGTACCTTTGGTGATGGTGAAGTTGTTGGATTGGAACTTATTGAACAAATTAGATTGCACAATGAATTGAGAAGCGGAAAGGCTCCACACTTCAAGAAGGCTACCGAGTTTTATAAGAAGATTGCTCAAAGATTAGTTCAAAATGGACATGTTTTGGATATTTTCGCTGCTAATCTTGATCAAATTGGTGTTTTGGAAATGAAATCTTGTTGTGAAAATACCGGAGGTACTATGGTTTTGACTGACACTTTTGATAATCCAATCTTTAAGGAATCATACATGAGATTCTTTGAAACAGGATCTGATGAACAACTTAAGATGGGTTTGAACGGCTCAGTTGAAATTCAATGTTCAAACGAAATTAAGGTTTGTGGTGTTCTTGGTCCAGTTACTTCCATGAACAGAAAGGCCAATAATGTATCTGAAAATATTATCGGTGAAGGTAGTACAAATGCCTGGAAGATTAATGCTATCCATCCAAGTACTACTCTTGCCTTCTACTTTGATGTTGTTAATCAACAAAATCCAACCAACATGAATACTCCAGCTATCAGATGCTTCCAATTTGTTACTGCTTATCAACATCCTTCAGGCGAATATAGATTAAGAGTAACAACTCAATCTCTTGGTTGTGCTCAACCAAATAGATTTGATGAACTTGCCCAAGGTTTCGATCAAGAAGCTGCCACAGCCCTTGTTGCCAGATTATCTGTATTCAAGGCTGAAACTGAATATTTATTCGATGTTTTGAGATGGTTGGACAAGTCATTGATCAAGTTGGTCTCCAAATTCGGTACTTACACTCCTAATAATCCTGATTCATTGATCCTTTCACCTCAATTTTCAGTTTTCCCTCAATTCCTTTACCACTTGAGAAGAAGTCAATTCTTGAGAGTTTTCAACTCCAGTCCTGATGAAACAGCTTGGTTTAGATTACTTTTGAATAGAGAAACAACCACCAATTCTATTACCATGATCCAACCAACCTTGTACTCTTACTCTTTCACTGAATCCCCACACCCTGTTGAATTGGACTCTAACTCTGTTAGACCTGATGTCATTCTCCTCTTGGATACCTTCTTTACCGTTTTGATTCACTATGGTGAAACTGTTACTTCATGGAGAGAAGCTGGTTATCATCACCAACCTCAATACGAAAGCTTTGCTAAATTGTTAGAATTACCAAAGAACGATGCCAAGCTTATTATTAAGGATCGTTTCCCATATCCAAGATATATCGAATGTGATCAAGGTTCAGGTCAAGCAAGATTCTTGATGGCCAAGATTAACCCTTCAACCACTCACAAGGACCAAATGTATGGCCAAAATAGTACAGTCGTTTTGACAGATGATGCTGCTATGCAAGTATTTTTGGATGGTCTTAGAAAACTTGCTGTCCAATCTCAATAAAACTTGGCTGAAACTTTATTGGAATCTACTACTATTTATTGGTAAATAAGTGTATTAACGGCATCTGATAATGGATGGATACGTAGTGAAAATATGAACCATTGAAAAGGGAATTTACCTTCTTCCTCTCCTAGCCACTCGGTACGAAATATTTCAATATTTTCAGGATTAAGTATTGGCGCAGTATTAGTGTATTGTTCTTTTCCAAATAGATTAGATTGCAATAGAACTAATCTATCACTTGCTGATGCTGAAGAATAGTTGAAAGATCTAAGAACATCCATTGTTTCAACACTAATTTGTGAAACGTATCTGGTGTCTTCTTCATTTTCATTTCTGAAAAGATCAATTTTAACTTTCATTGTAAACGACTGGTGTGGACGGGCAATATTGAAGTAATCCAATGTAAACTCCATTAATGATCTCAGCTGGTGTAGGTCTGGTGAGCCGGCACTAGCATAGAAAATGTCATCATTGCAATTACTATCTTTCTTTTTTTGCCAGGTAATATGGAATACAGAATTCAAGTTTGGCTCAAAATCTCTAAGGCATAAAAAGGCATCACTATCATAATTCAATGATGAAAACGTTTTGATAGTTCCTAGAGTTCTATGTTTCGAATAACTTGCAAATTTAGCAAGACAAAACGCTTTCTTAAATTGCCATGAATAATCAGTCTTTTGTGGAGTTGACCATTTAATCTTTTCTCTTGGATTTACATCAGTCTTGTTTCCCAAACGTACATCATAATAATTATTTGTTATTTGATTTGAAGGATCTTCACGCCAAAACTTGGCATATTCAAGGCTAGAGGCAATTAATCTGTCATACAGCACATTCCAGACAAATTCATTATTTATCAATTCATGATACCACTCTTTACAAACCATCAGCACAGATCCACTCAACACATCATCCATTCCAATGAATAATACTACATGAGTCATCACTGATTTTAATATTGTTTTTGTTTGTTCTGATCGGAATTTCATATTCTTGATTAATCGTTCATAAAATTCATCAAATGATGAGGATGATGATACTGAAAAGGCTGTTTGCAAATCATCAATACGTAGTAAATTGAGTGGATTATGAATTGTCTAGATTATTTTAGCGTTATTGCTGTGGTGCTGGTCATGGTCGAGTTTTCTTTTCATGTTTGTTGTTATTTTTTTTTCTTGTTTTTTTTACTACTAAAACTTTTATAGGTTCACTCAAGTACATGAGATTACAAAATAAATTTTAATTGGCTAGGCATTACAATTGCATCTACTTTTCCAGTTTCCAGTCGAAAAAATGTCTTTCAGATTCAAGCATTTCGAATATTATTTATTGAGTTGAGGAAATAAAATCAACACTGTATTGCTTTAATGTTATTGAAAAAAAGCTGTAGATGGGTATTGTATAATAACTTACAATTCAATGGATAGTTTTTATTGCAAATATTTCCCTTTTTGTGTAATTCACCAAAATTTTTGCTGATTCGTTAAGTTGTTACTTGACTATTGCTATTCGAAAGTTGACATTTGAGTGCTAAACCCAGAGACAACAATATGATTTCGCATCACAACCTCAATTACTAACTATTTAATACCACTTCCACTTTGAGGGGAAACACACTTTAAAAAGTGTCAAAAAAGCATTGTGGCAAGTGACGTTCTCTTAACAAACTCAAAAAAAAATGATTCTTGGGAATAACTACCTTTTAACCATTCTGTTTTGCATGTGTTGGGCATGTTTAACATTCGTTAACACCCAACAATCACTAACAGTCAACTTGTACATTTCCCAACACGAAGGATCTGATTCAAATTCAGGAAATTCAACAACTAGTCCTTTTCAAACCATAGCCAAAGCTTCTCAATGGATTCAAACCTATAAGAATTCACTCAGTCAAACTCTCATCAAGAATGTTACAATTTATGTGAACATTGATGATGGTCGTTATTTTTTCAATGCTTCAACATCGATTGTGAAACCTTCGAAATTTAATGATCGATCATCGCCAGTCTATTGGAAACCATGGAGAGAGAATGGTGAGGTAATCTTTTCAGGAGCAGTGCCATTGCCTTCCTACTTGTGGAAAACATTTGATTCTAATGATGAAGATTCGTATTCAATGCTTCCACAATCAAGTAGGGGTCATGTTAAAATGTTAAATTTAACACAAGCTGGTTTCTCCTCCTCTCAGATTGTGGCACTCAAGAGGGCAGGTTATTCCATTGGTGGAACAACATCTGGGAATGAGTTATTCTTCAGAGGAAAGGTTCAAACTGTTGCCAGATATCCAAATAAGACTCCTCAAGGGGAAGATCAATATTTGAAAATCTTGTCAACTGATGCAGAATACATGGTGAGATTGAACAGCACTGGTTCTCCTAATAGAATGAATTGGCCACTTGAAAAGTATCCATTCGTATTCTCCTACTTTTATTATGATTGGGCAGATGAATTGGCACCGCTTTCTAAACTCTATTCGAATGGAACAGTTCAATTACAATTTAAACCTTCGCTTGGAATTCAGAAAGGTCAGAGAATTTATGTGGCCAACTTTTTGAGTGAATTAGACATGCCAGGTGAATATATTATATTGGATGATGTCATTTTCTTTTGGCCTCCTTCAGAAATCACTGCCAATGATGATGTCATGATTTCAGTTTCTGAACATTTGATTGTTTCATTGGCCAATGGACAATTATTTTCAAATCTCAAGTTTGAAATGTGTAGAGGGGTTGGTTTAGTTGCTAATACATTGACAGCAATTGAGATTTCACATTGTACTTTTTCCAATATTGGTAATAGAGGAATTTCAATGACAAACTGTGATGATTATTGTAAAATTAATTACAACACATTTTATGAAATAGGACAAGGAGGTTTGAGCATTAGTGCTGGATCAAGAACTACACTTACTTCATGGAATGCACTTGTTATGGGAAATACAATTTTTAACTATTCCAGAATTGGCAAAACTTATAGACCAGCAATTTCAGTCCAAGGCGTAGGAATCACATGTAGAAACAATGAAATTTACAATGGAGACCACGTAGCCATCATGTGGGGAGGTAACAATCATGATTTATCCTACAATAAGATTCACAATGTCTGTAAATCATCTCAAGATAGTTCAGCAATTTATTCAGGACGTGATTGGACACAGAGAGGTAATCTCATCAGATATAATTACATTTACAATGTTAAAGGAATGGGTGATCTAGGTGCTACATGCATCTACTTGGATGACATGTTCTCTTCAGTAACCATGTATGGAAATATCCTGGTTGACTGTTATAGAGGATTATTGATTGGTGGTGGAAGAGACAATGTTGTGTTTGGAAATGTGTTTGTGAATAATACACAGGCCATTTATGCAGATGATCGTGGGTTGACCTGGGCCAATACTGTTGAAATTAACACAAATCTCCTCAAAGTTCCATTTAACACGAGTAAGATTTGGATTGACTCATATCCAACACTTCCAAATATACTCAATGATGAACCAAATACTCCAAAAGGCAATAATGTGACATTTAATGTGTTTGTTGGAAAGACGAGTAATTCAATTTTCAATAATTTCAAAAAGTATAGTACCTATTCGAATAATACAGCCGAAATGACTGATTCAATTTTTGTAAATTTTGCTGCTGGTAATTTCACAGTATTGGAAAGCTATTTGAGTTTGTTATTGGGAGTTCAAATTCCAATTGATCAAATCGGTGTGAAATTAGATCAAGTAATCAACTCAAATTCTTCCAATAATTCGATTCCATCCACCATCTCCTCAGCCAAGTATTCCAATTCCAGTAGCTTCTACTACACCACAACCAAGCTATTCCTATACGAAACCTACTCCAAGTAAATCATCCAAGCCAATTGTGGCAACTTCTTCAGGAGGTGTCATTCCAAGAGCTGACAGCAATGGAACAATTATTTCACAAGCATCAAATTTGAGCGAATCAAAATTCATTCTTTTATTCAGCATTACATTGTTAATCATTGTATTTAATATTAAATATTAAATCTTTATTGTAATCATTCAGATGAAAGGTTGCTACAAATCAGTGAAGTTACATTACACATTTTTTCAATTCTGCAATAATTGTGTCCAACTGCTTATTAGAAACTCCTTCTTTTTCCTTACAAAACATAATCAGCGGAAGGAAATGTGCAAGGTAATGAGTTTCCTTAAATTTTCTGTCTCCAATTTCATCCTTAAACTCTTTCAATATTTTAGTCTTTTTCCAACACTTTTGACAAACATCAAAAGAATTTCTGTCACTACCAGTTGCATAATAAAAACCCTCACAATCTTCTTCACACACATCACAAATTGATTTTGAAATAAAATCATCGTAAAGTTGAGTAATGAATTTCTTATCCTTTCTATTCTCAATTCCACTTACGGTTACCAAGTTGAAATATTGTAAAAATTGAACAACACTTTTGCTTAACATGCTTTCCTTATACGAATCAAGTAGCCATTTAAGTGAATCCATCATACTTGCAGTTGTTCCCTTACCCTCTGAATACATTAAGGCGAGGGTAAACTTTACTTGATTATCCCCCTTTTCGGCTGCTTTCTTATAGTATTCCAACGCCTTTTCAAAGTTCTTTTCAACCTCAACTCCATTTTCAAACAAATAACCCATCATTAAAAGTGCTTTAGGATATTCTTGATCTGCAGATTTTAAAAACCATTCAAGAGCAGAAGAGAGATCTTTGCTAGTGCCACGTCCAAAGAAATAACAGTTTCCAACTTCGTATTGAGCTGGTGCATGATCTTGTTTAGCTGCTTTAAGATACCATTCCAGTGCTTGATATTCACTCTGCATACCATTGAGAAATAAATCTGCCACTTCGTATTGAGCATTGGCATCTCCTTGACGAGCTAATTCCAAAATGTTTTCCATACCGAATTCCTCTTCATCCTCATCATCAAGATCTTCAAAGTTGTCTAATAAATATTCAAGAGCACATTGTGCACCTGCATGTCCTTCTTTAGCAGCCGTAGAAAACCATCTAAAAGCTTTTGACATGTCACAGGGAACTCCTTCTCCATTAGCATACATGGATCCAATATTATATTTGGCAGCTGAGCTGACACCTGAAGTTCCATTTCCAGCCGATTTCAAATACCATTCCATTGCTTTGGCATTATCTTTTTGAACTCCTTGTCCATAATAATAAAATTGGGCAATATTGTGTTGTGCATCTGCACTATTGTGTTCATCAGCTTTTAAATACCATTCCATTGCCTTGGCATAATTTTTTTTAACCCCTTCTCCATTCGAATACATGTATCCAATATTAAACAATGCAAATTTATCACCCTTTTCAGCAGCTTTCAAGTTCCATTCCATGGCTTTCGAATAATCTTGTTTAACACCCATCCCCTCATGGTAAAATCCTGCAATATTATAATGTGCAGCAGCATGGCCTTTTTCAGCAGCTTTCAAATACCATTCCATTGCCTTGACATAATCTCCCTCCCTCTCATACTTGGTTCCTAAATTGAAGAGATTTTTAGCGTCATCATTCTGCTGTCCTTCAGGTTGACTCATTTTGTTGTTTGTTTTTTCAATAGTTGTGGTCCTAAAAGGTCGCCTTAATAAGTGAATTTTTCATTGCAACCATGTAACTTTCTGTAAAAACAATAGAAATTGCTTTGGGTTTAGTCATAACAAATTTCAAATCAAGAAAGACAATCTCCAAAGTTGGAGAGATATGTACTGAAAAATAGACCTCCCAAGAAACCGCTCGATTAAGTCTTAATTCAAGGAATAGAAAGGATGAGCAAAAACTTCCAGCAACGCCGCAATACCAGAAGGAAATTTAATCAATACAACGCCGTATAATTGTGGCAATCTTTCAATCAGTGGATAATCATGTTGTTCCTTAATGATAAAGGACCTAAGAAAATTCAACTAATGAAGTATAAGCTCATCTGTTCTGTGGTACTTCAAACAGTTGGAGCATTAAGAATAAATTATTAAGCTGCTCCGACTCAATTTGATTTCTTCCTCATCAGTAAACATGCTGATTTGAAGAGAGAGAATGAACCATCAGATTCTTCAATATTATAATAATAATAACCACGAGAAAAAATTTACAAGTTTATTAATTGAATGAGACCATTGTTACGGCAGGTTTCCCATAGAGTTAAGTCTGATTCTAACAAGAACTATTCAACACTTTAAAAAATGTTCTTATTCTTTTCAAGCCATTGCTTGATAGAAGTTGGGTGAACATTTGGATACTTGCTATTTTGAATATTCTTCAACTCACAAATTCCACTGTGAAGAGCGTATTGATATTGCATTCCAATGTAGGCCCAAACGTTATGAGTGGTATTCTTGGTAGTTTCAATGAGTTTCTTAAGATCCTCAACACTTCCTTTTCTTTCCAATGTAATCTTATGTCCAGTGACTTGTTCAATTTGTTGAGCTAGTTGAGTATAGGAGACACGATCACCAGAAACAGAAACAATCTTGTTCAATTGTTCTGGATCAAGAGCAGCCTCGACAACATACTTGGCAGCATCTTCGTAAGTAGTTGTATCAACAAGAGTATCAGCAGATCCATAATAAGTAATCTTGTGATTCTTGGTGTCAATTATGTTCAAGAATGGTCCAAAGAATGTTTCCATGAAAACTCCATTCAAAAAGATAGTGTAACCAATTCCTGACTGTTTCACTTGTTCAGCAACTTGCTTTCTCATATCAAAGTGGTCATGATCACCAATGGAAGCTCTTAAATAATCAGCAGAATAATCAGAAGGAATGAAACGTTTAACACCAGCCTTCTTGGCAGCTTCCAACAATCTTAGTTGACCATCCATAATGGTGTCTTCAGAACCAATAACAGCACTAATAATAACATCAACATTTTGACATGCTTGTTGTAAATCCTCGACAGAATCATTCAATGCTCCACTAATCAATTGAACTCCCTTTTCTTTCAATTGTTCAGCTTTAGTTTCGCTTCCCTTTCTGATCAATGCAGAAACTTGAACTGTTGGTTTGTTTAATAAGGCAGAGGTAATCAAAGATCCTAAACGACCAGTGGCACCTACAACGAGAACTTTGGTGGATGACATGTTAAGAGATGATTGTTTTGATTGTTTTCAATTTTTTGTTATTGTCAGTTCAGACAATGTGTTCGCTATTTATGCAATCCACAACTGTTATACACACTCGCTTTTCTTTGTCTCATTTCTTCCTCCTTTCTTCCTCTCTGATGCTGTATTTTTAATTCATTCATGAATCAACAGCCGACTCTATTTCCTCCTCTTTTTCCGCGTGTTCATCTGGACCTTTTAACGACCAATTTTGTTTTTTTCAAAGTTGTAAAAAAGGCGGGAAGTTTGAGTTGAAGTGGAAATGTAAGCTTGGTAAAGCAGTGTAACAACATTGTGGCAGCAAAACACAATAGGACAAAAGTGGCATTGTAATGATCATAACCAAACAGAAACAAGTGAGAAAAAAATGAAAAAATTGCAAAATGGAATTGTTGGAATTGATTTTGGAGGATCACACTGTAGGGCTGCCGTTTACATTAAAGATCACATTGAATATATTCCCAATAAATTCGGTAAATACGAAACTCCAACTTGTTTGGCCTTTCTAGATGAATCATCATCATCATCAGTATCGGAAAGTAAAATATTAATTGGACAAGAGGCTTTAGAATATAGTTTAGTGAATCCTCATTGTTGTTTCTGGGATTTTAAAAAATTAATTGGAAAAACATTTCATGATGACGATGAGTTTAGTTCACAAGAGAGGAGATGGCCATTCAAAATTATTCGAAAGGAGGATGGAACTATTCGATTGGGTGTTATTAATGGTGAATTATCGATATCTGAAATGATTGGATTGATTTTGAAAGAATTGAAGCAAGATGCTGAAAGATATTTGAATACTTTAGTTACAGAGATTATTGTGTCAATTCCAAATTATTATTCGAATTGTCAGAGAATTATAATGAAAAAAGCTGGCGAGTATGCTGGCCTAAAAATTGCAAGATTCATACATGACACCTCTGCATCTTGTTTCCAATATCTTTGGAAGGAACATGGAGAGAGGAGGGTTTTCCTATTTGACTTGGGAAGGAGTGGATGTTCTGCATCGATAATGATTGTAGAAAGTGACATTTTTGAGACTAGAACGAGTGAAGGATTCTCTAATGTTGGAGGATCATTATTGGACGAAAGTCTGGTTAATTATTGTTGTGAACAATTTTACAAATCATTCAAAAAACATTTACAAGAAAATCCAATTTCAATGAGGAGACTGAATTTGGCATGTGAAGAAGCAAAGAAGAGACTTTCGAATGAATTAGAAACAAAAATCAGTCTTGAATCTCTTATGGATGGAAATGATTTTGAGATTACAATAAGTAGATCACTTTTTGAAGAATTGAATATTGAGTTTTTTAGAAAATGCATGAATTTAGTGACAAGAGTTCACACAAGATCATTAATTACAAAGCAAGAGATTGATCATGTGATTTTTGTTGGTGGAGGAGGTGAAATTCCAAAACTAAAAGAGCTAATATCTAACTATTTCGGTAAAACTCTCTATCCTAAACCTCTTTTACCATACGAGGTTGCATTTGGAGTTGCATTTGAAGGAGGGATATTGGGAGGTTTCGAACAGGAATGCCTTATCATAGACACAACCAGTCGACCAATTACATGTGAAATGGAAGGAAATATGTTAACTATATTTCCTACAGAGGTTTCGATTCCATGTATTAAGGTGTCTCAGTTGTTAATTTCAGATTCAATAATGGAAAGGAAAACATTTCAAATTAAAATATTTGAAGGGGATAGACCAGAATCTAGAGAGCTTATTGGAATTGCAACTATTGATATTGGAATTGATCTTACAAGCAACAGATTAGAAACCAGATTTGAATTTGATGTTAATGGAATCCTATCTATTATGCCATTTTCCAACACATTAATCAAAAGTAATTGGAAACACATATCCTCGTGTTGATTCGAGATGTTTCGTTTTCATTCAAAAAATTTCCTCATTCGCTAGAAATGAAAATCATGATCATTTCATTAAAACAAGATCCAGAAATAATGGCAATCTCAAAGATTCAAGCTATACATTCTATTGAATTTAAACTATTCCCAATCTATTTATTTATAGCGATTTCCATTTTGGTAAAGGTTGGGAATTCAAGAGAATCATAAACAAATAACTCTCGAAACATTTCGCCAATCAAATCCAAAAAAATGTCCACCACCATTCCACCTCCCAACCCAACACCAAACAACAACTACCCACAACAAGCAGGCACAAGAAGAACAAGACGCACAAGAAAACCAGCAAATAACACTTCAACTATTTCAGATGACCATCACCAACATGTAGTGGTGGCTGATACTACTTTAAATTTAGCCAACACGGCTCCTCCACAGCCAAAGCGCACTCGTAAAAAGAAGGCCGATATTAAGAAGAGCATGGTGAATGCTAATGCATCAACAACATTCAAAGCTGCATTGAATGTTGTTGTGCAACATGCATCTGCATCATCAAATGTTGCTCACAAGCAGACTTCTGCAGGCACCACCACAACAGGTAAAACAACATCTAAAAATTCAAATCGTAGGAAAAGAGCAAAGAAACAAGCAACTCCACAACAATCAGAATCAACTCCACCACCATCTGTGTCCAATAATAATAATAATAATAATAATGGCACAAGTATGAATGGTCTCCTTTTGGATGAGAATAGAAAGAGAGATATTATTCATTTTGTCACATCTACTTTGGATGTGCCAAGAAAGATGGATACCAAGAAACTTCTCAAAATGGTTCACAAAAGATTCAAGTTGAATTATTCACAATTGAGTCCTCAAATGTTGGTTTATCAAATTTTACATCCCACTTTATTTTTCTATCAGACCCTTGAAAAGGAAACTCTTGAGGGTGGTTCTGTAAAGAAGATTTTCACTCTTCATTATGATCCAGACAGAATTTACAAATTACCAAATTTGAAGAAGAGAAAATATAGACATGTTTGGAGATTTAATAATGTCAAATCTGGAAAGAGACCTTTGGGGGATGGAATGAAATTCCAAAAACCATTGGAAGCTTATGAACTTCCTGATAAGATTAAGAATGTTTTGGATAATAAGAAAATATTGGAAAAACATGCAATGAATGCTCAACTCAAGAATGAATTGTCTGGTGAATTGAAACAAGGAACAAAGGTTACTCAACAGGAACCAAATGAACATGTTTCTACTAATGACATGTACACATACACTCATAATTTATTAGGAACATTATTACATGTTGAAGAGGCCCAAATGATTTATGACATTAAGCAATACGACTTGTCAGGAATTAAATTGGAAAGCTATGAGGAAAGATACAGACATGCTCCTAATTCTAGATTGTACAAAGTCTATTGTGCAGGTCTTGCTGAAAAGAGACCATCCGTATTGAGAGGAGATTTGATTTTATGTAGACCTCATCACGAAACAAAGGCAAGAACTGTTCTTTTCAAAGGTTTCATTCATTATGTCAATTTAGATCATGTAGTTGTTTCATTCCATGAAAATGTAGAAAAGTATGAAAAGGTTGATATCAGTTTCAGATTCTCAAGAACTCCAATCAAGTTGATGCATAGAGCTCTCTCAATGTGTGACTCTCCTTATTTCAGGAATGTATTTTCTGGTGCTAGATTCTTACTAATATCAAAATAGTTTTTGGACCTCCTGGAACAGGTAAAACATTCGTAGTATCTCAATGTATCTTGGAAATTATGAAACAAGATCCAAATCACAAGATTCTCATATGTGCTCCTTCCAATCAAGCAGCTGATATTATTGTGGAAAGACTGGTCGATAGTAACTTGAATCCATTAGTGAAAATGATGAGAATGAATAGTGTTCAAAGAGATCCAAATACATTCACAAAGAGGTGGATTATTAAATTCTCAAACAAACTTGATCAAGGTTTTGAAATTCCAGAATTACATGAAATCGCCAAATATGATGTAATTATTTCAACATGCACTTCATCTGGTTATTTGTACAGTAAGGGAGTTAAGCCAGGACACTTTTCTCATATTATTATTGATGAATCTGGTGAATCTGTTATTCCAGAAGCATTAATACCATTCTCTTTGAAAGGTGACAATACAGTTGTTGTGTTGGCAGGTGATCCAAAACAACTTGGACCAATTGTAAGATCTCCTCTTGCTGTTGAATATGGATTGGGCGAATCCCTCTTGGAACATTTAGTCAAGTTAGGAGATAATTGCTGTTCTATTACTCAATTACAACAATCATACAGAGCTCACCCTAAAATAATGCAAGTCTATAGCTCTGTATTTTATAATAATTCCTTAATTTCATCATGTACTGATATTAATTCAGCAAATCTCTTCATTAACAATCCAATTTTGGAGAATCCACAAGTTCCAATGTTGTTTTACCACGTTAAGGGTGATGAGAAACGTGATAATGACTCACCTTCATGGTATAATTCCAAAGAAATTCAAGTTTTAATGGATAAATTGGATGAAATCGTAAAGTCTGGATTGGTTTTCAACAGCAAACACAACCAATATAATCCTGAACATGAAATTGGCATCATTACTCCATACAGAAAACAAGCAGAAGAAATCAAAAAATTGTTGAGAAAATCCACCAATCCATTGTACAAAAAAATCTTTGTTGGAACTACTGAACAATTCCAAGGTCAAGAAAGAAGAGTCATCCTTTTGACAACTGTCAGATCGAGTAGCACTGAAGGATTGGAACAAGATTCCAAATTCAAGCTTGGTTTCCTACAAAATCCAAAGAGATTGAACGTGGCCATTTCCAGAGCCATATCACTCATGGTTATTGTAGGCAATGCAGAGTTATTGAGTATTGATGAACATTGGAAGAAGATTATTGAGATTTACAGGAATGAGAAGTGTTTCATTGAGTACGATAAATTCACACCACCACCATCTTCATCATCAGCAAGTAAAAGTGGTGGCAAAAGCAAAACTAAACAATATAATACTGAATCTCTGGAAATTAAGAGATATGAATAAAACATGTAATATGTATGACATGTGTGGTTGGTAATTTCTATTCCTTCAAATTCTTCCTAATATTCTTCCATTTTACATTAGATACACCAAGCTACTCCAATCTGATATTGAAAATGAGTAAGAAGAGTATGGCGAGTTAGTACCATGAATGTTACATGTGACCACGCATGTCATGGGAGATACAAATGTTGTATACTTGTCTTGTTGACTCAAACATGTGTGTTGGTGTATCACATGCGTCGTTTTTGTTTGTTTGTTTTTAACAGATCAATAGCAAACACTTTATGCACCAAGTAATTTAACAACGCTGGGAATTCCCATCTAACCTGTAAACTAGCTTGGAACCAAACAAACGTTGAGATTCGCCAAACTATTAAAAAATGTCCTCCTCTATTAGACAAACTTTGAGACAACAACACTTTACATGCACTGAAAAACTTGATTATGATGTAGAGCATCATGAAAGAGCTGATGTTAGAGAGGAAGCAAAGGTCTTAAAAGAAGCATGTGAAGCATTTCTTTTAAGTAAATACGACTATTTAATTGCATACGAATATCATCTTCCTTCTCATTACAAAGGAGATGCAATTCTTGCTAAATTTCGTAATGATGGAAAGATTGATATTTTGGCATTGGAAGCAAAGCATATTAACTATTCACCAGATGTGGTTTGGAGAAATCAAAAACGAAAACTTCAAAAACTCAGAGAACAAGTTACGAGATGTGGCAACAATGCCTCTCACTATTTGACTGAAATTCTTGAATGGGATACAGATTCGATTGGTACAATCAAACCATTTGGAGTTTACAATGGCCAAAATGGAGAGCTCAGAGATCACACAAAGGATCTCATTGAACCAGAACATTTTGAGCAAACAACAAGATTGGATTCAGAAGTACCTGTAACAAGCACTACTACTAACCAAGGAAATGGCTCATTCTGGGGAGCACTTGCTGTTGTTGGGGCAGTTTCTTTAGGAGCCATGTATGTAGCTGCCAATACTAATAACCCTCCCAATCAACAACAACAAGTTCAACAACAAGGAAGAAGAAACAATGAAAATGAAGAAAGCCAACAAGAATGCTTAATTATGTAATTAAAATACCATTTTAAATAACAGTGAGACATTCGTTTATTTGAGAGGATAAGTCAATTTTTCATCATCTTCTGATTCAATTTTTACTTCACAGCTTTAAGAATGTAAAGTTTTTGTCATTACTTTAGTCTTTTCCTCTGTATTCAAAACGCACCATTGAGAGAAAATGGAAGCTGAGTCATTACCAAGTATTGTTGTTTATTGAGGTGGAGAGAGAGTACAGTCCCGTCTCGAATAGTAAAAGGTCAATGATAATGCATCACATAAATTATTATAATTATTTTCATGTCTCAATCTCAAAATAATCTCAAAAGTCCTGTGAAAGCTTTAAGATTTCTTGCCAAAATTTTTCAGGTAATTTGGAAATTCTATTTTGATCTATGAAGAGTTGTTTTCTGTTGACAATGCTAAACTTGAGAATCTCTCTCAAAAATTGCTCAAATAGTTGTAAATCAAAATAATTTTCACAAACTTCAAGCATAGCAAAGTAATTATCAATGGATAGAGTAAAGTTATTCTTGCAATAATTGATTAGATATTGAATTTCATGTTTCATTGCCATATCAAGTAATCCAATAATTTTAACAGCATCAATTTTGTCAATTGAAATTCTATAACAATATTTGATCACAATTTCCAATAATTCCAAATCTTCTGATTCGTCAGGTGTGAATATTCCATCATCACTCAAATCACTGAAACAAGATCCACTGTCAAATAATGCATTAAACAATGTACTTGATGAACTCAATACAGTTTTGTGACAATATAAGTATTTGTTTTGTCCCATTTTGATTTTTACATCACTTGTTTTCATATCACCATATAATGATTCAATTGTTTGTGGTTCATTTTCAATTGTTTCCTCAATATTAATTGCAGTTGGTTGAGCAATGATCATTTTTGGAAATATGGCAGTAGCATTTCTCATAATTATTGGAAGAGTCGATAATAAAGTGTTTCCTTCTTTGGTTTGCATTTGAACAGCAGCATATTCAATGCAATGGTTATTCAATTGATCGAGAATGTAATTTTGAATACCAAATTCCTCATTGCAAGTTTTGAGTAAATTTTCAATTGTTTCCCATTTGAAAGTAAGATTTTCTAATGTGAATGAGTTCACAAATTCACTTGTCAATGATCTTTTCAAATCAATAAATTCACCATTCTTAAATAAACCCAAAATGAATAAAACATCCAACACTTCTTCTTTGCTAAACTTTACCTTGTTCTTATCATACAGCAAAGAATCAATTAATTTTTGAATAATTTCTTGTTGTGATGAACTCATCAAACAAAGCATCTTTTCATTCTTCAAAATATTACTAAATTTTGGTGAAATTTTTTCAATGAGTGGAATGAATCCATAAATTTGAAATCCAAATAATTGATCTCTTGAATGTTTTTTCAAATTATATTCTATTTTGGAGTACAAGCTACTATTTCCAGTTAATAACTTATTTCCAATATGAGGATACATTATAATATTAAAAGGTGAATCACCACTGAATCCAGCAGTTCCATTTCCTGCAATTGTTACAATATTTCCATTTTCCAATATTTTTCTAATTCTTTGATTACTTTAATCAGTAATATAAACTTCATTATTTGATGAAACAAAAACACTATTAGGATTATACAATTGTGCATTTGTTGCAGGACCATTATCACCACTAAATCCATAATTTCCATTTCCAGCAATTGTTATAATATTTCCATTTTCTAATATTTTTCTAATTCTGTTATTATGTTGATCAGTAAAATAAACTTCATTATTCGATGAAACAAAAACACTAGAAGGATTATAAAGTTGTGCATTTGTTGCAGGACCATTATCACCACTGAATCCAACAGTTCCATTTCCAGCAATTGTTATAATATTTCCATTTTCTAATATTTTTCTAATTCTATGATTGCTATAATCAGTAATATAAACTTCATTCTTTGATGAAACAAAAACACTACAAGGATAATTAAATTGTGCATTTGTTGCAGGACCATTATCACCACTAAATCCATAATTTCCATTTCCTGCAATTGTTACAATATTTCCATTTTCTAATATTTTTCTAATTCTATGATTACAAAAATCAGCAATATAAACTTCATTATTTGATGAAACAAAAACACTAGAAGGATTATAAAGTTGTGCATTTGTTGCAGGACCATTATCACCACTGAATCCAACAGTTCCATTTCCAGCAATTGTTATAATATTTCCATTTTCTAATATTTTTCTAATTCTATGATTGCTATAATCAGTAATATAAACTTCATTCTTTGATGAAACAAAAACACTACAAGGATAATTAAATTGTGCATTTGTTGCAGGACCATTATCACCACTAAATCCATAATTTCCATTTCCTGCAATTGTTACAATATTTCCATTTTCTAATATTTTTCTAATTCTATGATTACAAAAATCAGCAATATAAACTTCATTATTTGATGAAACAAAAACACTAGAAGGATTAAACAGTTGTGCCCTCGTAACTAGTGAAGACATTTTTTTTAATTGTAATCCGAGCAGAAAAATAAACTATTAGAAAATATTCTTCAAGAACAACTATATCATGTTCTCTGTTGTGAATTTTAGATGGTTTCTACATAAAACCAGGTAGAAGAACATTACTAGTGAGTGTTCAACATTTTTGATGGTGTGATGATGAAAAATGCTTAATAATGGTAAGGAGTGACAAATTTTTTAAAACAATTAAATGATGAAAAAACTATGGGAGGTTCGGTTCACCCAAATAACATTGACATTGGTTTATTCACCACTCAACTTGCTAGAGAATCTGGTATTCCCACAACTTTGGAGACTCAGTAACAAACAAAGCACTGCTAAATCGTAAGAAATGGGGCGATATGAAAATTATGGTGTGCCTAAATTAACAGAATATATTGTGCAAACTGGAAATGCGGAAAATAATGATGATGAAGTGGAAGATGAGGAAGAAATTGGAAAAATTAAATGTTAAAGATGTTGATGAAGAAGAGGAAGAAGATGGAGAATATGTTGATGAAGAGGAAGAAAATTAATACAAATGAATTACTGTTCAGAGGGTGCAAGGAGATGAATTTGCCAATTATTCATTTATTGAATTTGGTCGACCCATTACAGTTTGAGGTGGTGAGGAGGGGTAGAAATCTATTTAGGGGCGTATGGTGGTCAGAAAATAATCGGGGTAAACAAAATTATTTCTTCATTCCTGCTTTACATTTAATTCTAAAAATGTTTCTTCTTAAGAAACAACTCTGATTTTATTAAGGCACAAAAATCCATTTAGAAACAATTGCAGACAACATGGGTTAGCTACTCACCGATTTTTAACAAACTTTGAAAGGTACTAAATTTGGAAAATGTTAATTCATTGAAACCAAAAATCTGATTCAAAATCCTTGAACACAGCCAACACATCACGTGTGGCCAAAAAACAATTCCACTCAACCCTGTGTAGTCTAATGAAAGACATGTGAATGTGACGGGACTTGAACAACAAGTCCAAATCACATAATTCAGGTTCAAGTCCTGACACTGGGTTTCAACTTTTTATTCAAGAAGAAACTAAACTGAGATATTTAAAAATCAAAAAAAATGCAAAAAACTCTAAACTGGTACTTTATTGTCATCCAGCAAATTTAAAAACTAAATTAAACTAAATTAAATATAATAAACATGACCAAAACAGCTATAATAATTGATAACGGATCTTGTACTATGAAAGTAGGAATAGCAAACGAACAAGACAACACTCCGACATCAATCTTTCCAACCCTAGTTGGCCACCACAAGAAATCAACAAGCACCACTATAGTTGGTGATGAAGCCATTGCTAAGAGAGGTATCTGTACATTGAAATATCCAATTGAACATTGTGTCATTACCAACATGTCTGATATGGAACTAGTTTGATGCAGGCCAGAATTACATCCAATCTTGATGAGTGAAGCAGTGAGGGAACCAAAGTGTAATAGAGAGAGGATGACACAGATCGTGTTTGAGGAGTTTAATATATCAAGTTTTTATGTGGCAATGCAAGGAGTGTTGGCGTTGTTTGCATCTGGCAAGACAAGTGGAATTGTTTTGGATTTGGGAGAGAGTGTGTCGAGAGCTGTTCCTGTCTATGAAGGATATGCCTTGACACATGCCATTTCAAGTTGGAATTTTGCTGGAAGGGAAATTACTGAATATTTGGTTCAAGCATTTGCTGGATGTAAAATACCATATTTTGCAGAGCATCCAACAGATGTCATGACAGATATGAAGCATAATATTTGCTATGTTGCATTGGATTTTGATCAGGAAAATGAAAAGGCAGTGACTGATGTTTCTTATGAATTACCAGATGGAAGCTTGATTAACATTGGATGTGAACGATTCAAATGCACAGAGGAATTATTCAATCCCAATCTTGATTCACATTCTGGGATTCATGAACAGGTTTTCAATTCTATTAGAAAATGTGACATGGATGTTAGAAAGGATATGTTTTCAAATATAATCTTAGCAGGTGGAACAACAATGTTTACAGGATTGTCAGAACGAGTGGAAAAAGAGTTAAGTGCATTGGCTCCATCAAATGTGAAAATCAATGTTGAGGCTCCACCATTTAGAAAATATTCAGTTTGGCTTGGAGGTAGCCTGTTATCTTCTCTATCATCGTTTGAACCAATGTGGATTTCATGCAAAGAGTATGATGAAATTGGACCTTCAATAGTACATAGAAAATGCTTTTAATGTTGTGATGGAGAGTAATATTCAGAAATAATACTTTTATATTTTATTGATTTAAGCAATATCAATTTCACAAACGACAATGTCTTGCTTTTGTGAAGATAATCTAATGGTTGACATTTGTCTTTGTTCATTTGGTCTCATATAATTTGTAAAGAAGGTACACAAAATGGTTGTGCCACCTGTCAAGCTCTGAGAATGGTTACTGAAATAATTTGTTGTAGCTTTGTAAGCACCTTTTTGAGCTTTCTTTAACATGTATTCTTCTGGACCATATCCTTGTCTGAAATCTCTGGAAACATAACCTCCCATTCTTGTTCTATTGTGAGCATAATAAGCATGTTCACCATGTCTTCCTGGCTCTTGAACGTGCAAGTCAATATCAACATTATCAGTGTCCCAGGCCATTGAAATACGAATATCGAGGTCAAACTTGTGAATCAATCTCTTATCAATGATTGGTAAATCTGGATTGTTAAGCAAAAGATGGTTCATCTCTGTAGCAACGGTCATTTCAATTTCATCAAAACGAAGATCCCATTTACCAACAATAACTCTATTGAATAATTCCATAGCTTCTTCATGCTTTCCCATTCTTTCCTTAACTAGAGCAAGATCTCTGTATGATTGAGGTTCAAATCCATTAATGCTCTTAACTCTTTCAAAGACCCATTCAGCCAATTCCAATTCTTCAGCTTGATCAAGTCTATAACCAACAATACGATAAAGTTGAACATTTTCCAATTCAAGCTCTGAAACGTTGGTAAGAATTCTCACACCAATTTCCTTATTCTTAACTGATGAAAGGAAATAGTCAGCAACATCCAAATAGAAAGCTGGAGAATCTCTATAACTTTCTCTTTGTTTAACATATTCTTCATATGGATCTTTAGCTTGACTAATGGCAGTACAATAAGCAGCATCTGGAGTCCATGCTTTAACCTTAATGGTACCAGCAACACTAGGTTCTTCTTGAGAGGCTACTGACTTAGCAGAAGGAGGTGGTGGACTACCTGCACTTCCAAAAGCTGGTGGTGGACCTGAACTGATATCTGAACAACTCAAAGAAGGACTAGCAGAACGACAACAACAACTTCTAGCACAACTTGGAGATGGTGCACAAGAACGTCTGCAACATTCTCTGCAACATTCTCTACTCTCCTCACATCTACAACAACTATCCAAACTAGAGGATTGTACAGAGAGAGATTCAGAAATACAGTCATCCATTGCAGCCAACTTTTTCTTTTCCTTTTCTGGCTTTTCTTCAGGTAATTTAAAGTCAGTCTTATGCCAATTAACTCTTTCCTTCCACATACTAATAATTCTTTCTAACTTTTCCTTTTCTTGTTTATCCTTAGCTTCTTGTGCAGATGTCTTTACTTGCATGAATTGTTTATAGACTTCAGTGAGAGTCTTTGGCGGAACAATGTCATGTTTTTGATATTGACTCAAAGTTTCAAGAACAATCAGGGAAGTATTGTCAGTAACAATCCTAAATTCTTGGCCAATCTTCTTAATATCATCCTTGAAAAGTTGAGGGAATGCAGAGAGAGAGTCAATCTTTTGTTGAGCCCACAAAGTTGGAAGAATGGCAGCCTCTTCAGGAACATTGTTAACACTTGTTGGAATATCAAGTTCTTGAATGTGATAAATCTTTGAACCATATCTGAAAGATACAGCAACCTTAGCTGTTTCCTTTCCAGAGTTTTTGATTTTACCATATAATTTGAAAATTTCTCCTTCCTTCAAAGAAACTGGTTCGTTTGGATAAACTTCTTCCATATCAGAATCTTCGAAATCTGCAACAACAAATGACAAGACTGGTTTACCAATAGCATTCAAAATTTGATCTTGTGAAAGTTCGTTGGCATTGAGGTAAACACCACCAGACTTGGTAGAGATGTGCTTCAAGAGATTGATATTAACAGTAGATGAGGCGTTGACAAAGTAAATTGGTCTTTCAAAGCTGCATGATGGGGTAATTTCATGTCCAATTGTGTGAACACCATTAGTAAAAGCAATGCAATAATCAAAACTATCATCAATCAAATTTTGATCGAAAACAAGCATGTTAGAACCACCATCATAAACAATCTTTTCAGCATAACTCAAAGCATCTGAAGTGGATGAAAAATTCTTTTGATCTACAATGGCATTACTGAATGTTGAGAAGGAAATTGCTTTTGGATTCAAAGCTTCCAAAATTGCCTTGAATAATTGTAAATTCTTTGCATGACAATTAGATTGTGAAAGTGATGAATCCCAAACAATTTGAATTTTGTCTCCAATACGAGACATATTTCTCATTTCTTCGGTCAAAGATGGAACTGGGATAGAGGTCATAAAGTAACCATTTTCTGATGCAAGTAAAATATTATTAACTGAATCAGCCTGTTTGGTAATTTCAATACCAAAACCAATCAATTTGTCAGATAAATCACTCTTGGTAACATTGAAATAAGCAGCTCTCTTGCTTGCATTCTTACTTGACCAGATAGTCTTTTCTTCAACTCCTGAAGTTTTCATTGTAAAATTAGTTTCATATCCTTGCAATGATGTCTCATTCAAAGTAAATTCAATGTTGGATTCTCTTAATACTGAGAAATCTGTATAAGTAACAGGGAACCAAGCAGTGCCCTTAATTGTACCAGTTTCATTTTCATTTTGAGTTTCGATAATCTCATTCAACATTAATTGATACTTGACTTGAATTGTCTTATCTTGATTGTATGGTAATGGATAAATACGAGTACGGAAACAATTGGATTGTGCAACCTTTTCAACCATTGAAACCTTATTTCCAGCTCTAACTTCACTTTCAAAAACTTCCTTGGCCTTTTCCTTTTCAACTGGAACTGCATCAATGAGTTTTCCATCAACTTCCATTGCATAACCAGTCATCGTGGCAGTTTCAGGCATTGGAAGAACTAATTCACCTTCAATTGATCTATTTTCAATAGTATTTCTAAAAGTCATTGTGGAAAACGACTTGAACAATAGGATACATGACGTGACATTGAACTTTGTGAGCCACCAATGGTAAAACTGATGAAGCCTTGTCAGAATATTCCTTTCCAATATGTACATGGATGAAAGAATCAGGACTTGATTCGAATGTAGGAATATTATCAGTGATTGGTGTCTTCTTGATACAAGTAGCTCTACTGGCAGCCAATCCTGTTGGAATGCTTGTTCCCGATACTATCTTTACATTGTCGTATAATTCAATTTTCTTTGGAGCACTATTCTTTGGCTCCTTTTTAGTGTACTGCTTGTTGTTGTTCTTCATTGGTTGGTGTGTTGTATTTGTAGTGGTGGTTGTGGTTGTTTCAACTTGAGAAATATCATCATCAGCTGATGCAGCCTTGTTTTTACTACCAAAGAAACGTCCAAACATTTTAATAAATAATAATTAATGGGTATAGTTGATTACGAATATCAGATGATCTATAAACTGATGAGGATGGTGTCAGATAATGCAATCGGAAGGTGTTCGATTTAATTTTTTTAATTATGAATTGATCAAAAAAGTTCACACCAAAGATTTTAACTGTTTTGATGAGGAACACGGAGGGAACACATGTTCTTATGAAAAGGAGTTCAGAATGTTGTAACAACCAGGGAATATCTAGGAAAATGAATTTTAATACTTTTCAACAGTTTATATCACTATGATGATGTTGTATTGTTATGAATGGAAAGACCTGGAATTTTGTTTTTGATATTAGTGTTAAAGCATATATTAAAACATTAACAAATTACAAAAAGAGAAAGATGTTGAGAGAAGTATTTATTGGGTTTAACCCGATTCGAGCCTTAAATGCCCATTCGCTTCTTTAATTTCAATAAATAATTCACTCAATATGGATTTAAATTGGTGTGGTAGAAAGTAGATTGAGAATTTACTTGTTTCTCAAGGAAATCTTGTAAAGTAATTCAAGTAAAACAGATCGAACTGGTGAAGGTTTAAACTTCATAACAGCATCGTAAGCCATCCTCGTGTGTGTATCAGCCAAATCTTTAGTGGATTGAACGGCGTTACTCTTAATAACAAAGTTTCTAGCCATTTCAATATCACCTTCACCTGAGAATTTTCTATCAATTATTGGTTTCATTTGTTCTGGGAAAGCTTGAGCAGCGAAAATAATTGGACATGTTGTTAAACCTAATTTCATGTCAGCACCTTGAGATGGTTTTCCTAGGTCGTTTTGTGATTGTGTGAAATCGAGACTGTCATCAGTTAATTGGTATGCAATTCCTACGTGTTTTCCGAAAGTATATGCTGCATCAATTAGTTCACGGTTTGTTGATCCACTTAAAACAGCTGAAGCCTTACAACTGTTAGCAATGAGAGATGAAGTTTTAAAGAAGATGGTTTTCATATAATAATCAAAATCTAATTTTCCTTTTCCGGCCATTTGCAAAACTTCGCCATAAGCCAAATGTTCAATAACTGTTGAAATTAAATCAATAGATTCAATATTTCCGATTCTAGCCAAATTTATGGAAGCTCTGCCGAGAAGGAAATCACCAGCTAAAACAGCAACCTTATTTCCAACATTTTTGTTGAGGGCAGGAATTCCTCTTCTTGTATCGGCATCATCTACAATATCATCATGGATTAAACTAGCAACATGAATAAGCTCTGTTGTTTCAGCTAATTTTCTTTGTTTTCTCATGATTGTTTCCAAATCTGAAATTTCTGTTTGTTCATTGACAGCTCTACCGGTCATTAAAACCAACATTGGTCTGAAGAGTTTTCCAGGTGTATTGAAAAAGTACTTGGCAGCAGCATCAAGTACAGGATGGTCAGATTTAACACTATCAAGAATTTCCTCACCAATTAATTTCAAATCTCCATCGACTTGAAGGGAAATTGTTTTAGAAGTTCTATTAGGATCTGATGATTGATTATGTAATTCTCTGTCCTTCAAAATTGTTTCTTGAATGAGGTGAGCAAGAGTTCCTTTAGCGACACTTTCATCAATAATCATATCGGATGATGTAATAATTGAATCAATATTTTCTGTAGAGACTAGTTTAGGAATTTTGATATTAGTTAATACTTTAGAAGCGATGTTAGAAAGAATTCCATATTGTCTTCTTGATGTAAATTGATGATTCTTTTGACACAACAAATTCTTGCCTGAATTAACAAAAATTGATGATGATGAAGTCTTTTTCAGACCTAACCTAACAATAGAAATACCACTCATATTATTATTCTAGTAGTGAGTGTGTGGATGAGAGGGAGAGGGAAATACTCTAGAGGGTTGTTGCTGTTGATGAAAATAAAAAGACTGAGCGAAACAATAGTACTCTTTACAGCTCGCTCGTAATTTTTTTCAAAATTTCAATGAGTCCCGCAACTCTCTTCAAGCTTGCTGTGTTAATTAATGTTCATCCTTGAGCCTCTCTTGATGATAACGAGGCAAGGTTTCACTCTTGAATAACTTACTAGAAGTTCTTTTGAAGCCATGATGATACAGGATTTAATGTCATTCTCAAGTTATCAACAGTAAGCAGAATGGTGTTGGTGTTGGTTGAGGATGAATCGATTTTGACTGCATTTCAACGGAAAATAATAAAAGGCAATTATGCGAATTGATGAAAAAAGCAAATTGATTGAGCAAATTTACAAATTGCAAAAATGAACATTTTACAGTTTTTAAAGCAAATACAAATAAATTTAAATAAAATAAAATTAATGATTTAATAGTAATACAAAGTCAAATTAATTTTGACCAGAAACAGCCTTCCATGATGGTCTTGAGGAAATCTTTTCCCACCAAGCCTTAACATGTGGACGATCAGTGATCAAGTTTCCGAGACCAACTGGTGGAGCAAACAACAAACTACCATAAGGCAAGTGATACAAATCAGCCAAAGTGAATTGATTACCACCAATGAATTCTTGCTTGGACAAGATCTTTTCATAAGCATCCAAATGTTGATTCAATTTGTCAGTCAATTGCTTAACACGAGCATCATCAGTAGTACCCCAACCAAAGAGACCCTTGAACAACTTTTCGAAAGCCAAACCAGCAGCATTTGGATCAAAATATGCTGTTTCAATTGATGCACCTTGTTCGAATAAACCCAAAGCCTTAAGATCGGATGGAATCAATTCAGTTCCTTGACCCTTGTGTTTAGCTTCCAAATAACGACAGATGGCACGAGATTCATAGATCAAGAAACCATCATCATCAAGAACTGGAATGACACCAAATGGTTGCTTTTCCAAGAAGGATGGTGATTTATGTTCACCCTTGCTCAAGTCAACTACAATCAATTCATGTTCCAAACCCTTTTCCTTCAAAGTTGTCAAGACACGTTGAACAAGTAGATTGTGGAATACCATAGATTTTATAGACCATTTTGATTAGTGAATGTTGTTGTTTTTTATGATTTTGTTTTTGATTATTTGATGAAATTTGCTTCACACATTATTTATTTGATCAGCAACTTCCGAATGAATGGATCATGCGTGAGCACAAACTCATACCGATGGGATAAGGAGAACAAAAAAGGAACCTCAACATATGTCAACGGGGAATCTTCGGAAGCACAAACTGTGAGGCAAAACCCTGTGGTGGAAATTGTAATCTACTCTGATCCCATAGTCTTAAAAGATTAATAGCCTTGTTTCAACTATCTAAAGTAGACCAAAGAAAATACTGTTCTCTGGAATAAGACTTGCTGTTAATTGAAAATATTTGTAAACTTTAAGATCTGTCTACCCTGTTATTTCAACTGTTAAGAAAATATAGAAATTCTCAACATAAAAAGACAGACAAGAGGAATCGAACCTCTGACCCGCAGTGCTGGGCTCTGCTGCTCTCCCCACTGAGCTATGCTTGTCAAAAGCATAATGATCTGCACTAGAGGCTATGTCATTAAATTGTGTGACATAACATTTGACATTGAGAATATGCAATTTTTAATTTTATTAGGTTTCCATTGCCAAATATTGTCGCAGTAATGTAATTTTTCTCTGTTTCATGGGTGGAATGAGTTTCGTCTAGTTCATCTTATTCCAATTTGTTTAGTCTAGTTTTACCAAATCTATTGTGAAAAAAAAATGGCTATCAGAAACCATGGTTGTGATTTGATCATCCGAACCATTTTTCATTCAACAAACAATCAATACAATGATAATGATTTTCAAATTGTTGAACTAGAACATATTGATACAACAACACAATTTCTTACAAAACATTTTCAAGAAACCACCACTCGCCAACTTTCATCACTTTTATTCAAATATGAACATTTGGAAAAAGTACTTGCTTCAAGAAATCCAATTCGCTACCTCCAAGAAAATCCACTTCCAGATGCTCATTGTCCACTCATTTGTTACAAATTAATTCACCATAATGGAAATTTATTGCAATTTGCAGGTGATAAGATTAGGAATAATGAAGAGATGGTGATTCTTGCTGCACGTAGTAATGCAGTGGCAGTTTCGTTTGCAAGTGATGAATTGAAGAGAAATAGAGAGTTTGCTAAAGTTGCGATATTGAAGGGCAAATCTCCCTATTGGGGTAGATCTATTAATTGTACCTTTGAATTTTTAGAGAATTTTCATGATGATGAAGAAATTGCTTTAATTGCAATTGATTGTCAGAGACTTTCTTATAAATTTCTATCAGAACGATTGAAAATGAAAAGAATATTCATAGATAAGGCAATTAGTAATAATGGAACAATGATTGAATTTGTTCCGAAACAATTTATTAATAGAGAGCTGATTTTGAAAGCAATCAAATCGACAAAACACAAAAAAGAAGAAATTCTTAGATTCATTCCAGAAGAATTTAAATTTGACAAGGAAATAATTTTACAAATCGTTAGAAATTGTTTGGTTTTCCGCTATATTCCAGAAAAACTTAGAAATGATAGAGATGTGATCTTACAATTCGTCAAGTCAAACAAAGGTGACACTCTTCAATATGTCAATGACAAGTTCAAATCTGACCGAGAAATTGTAATGGAATCGGTTAAACAGAATGGCTGTAATTTAGCATATTCCCACGAATCTTTGAAGAATGATAAAGAGATAGTTACACTTGCTATTAGGAATAATATTGAAGCAATTAAACATGCTAGTGATGATTTGAAATTTGATAAGGAATTGCTAATGAGTTCAATTACATCAACTGAATGTTTTTTAAAATTTTTAACATGTGTTAATCCAATAATACAATACGACGACGAGTTTATAATTGAATTAATAAGTGATCACACGAGATTTGGTGAGGAAAGAGGCTTTGATATTAAGAAAATTAAGGAAAAATTCCAAATGAAAATGATTGAAATTGATCCAACTTTCATATACAAGGCGAAACTTGAAGAACCAACTTTCAGTTCATTAATTGATAGAGAGCACATACTACAATTACTAGAATATCAACCCTCGAGTTTTGTTCATCACCAAGATCCAATATTTGAAAAGTTCAAATCCGATAGAGAAATTGTAAGAAGAGCTATTCAATTATGTCCATCATCTCTAACATTTGCCTCAAAGGAAATTCAAAACGACAGGGAATTTATTAAGGAAGCTATTCAATATCATTATAACAATTTTAAATATGCCTCAAAGGAACTTCAAAATGATATTGAATTAATTAATCAAGTGATTGAAAGGAGAGGTTCATATTTTATACACATTTCAGATGAAACTTTGAAAAACGACAGAAACCTATTCCTCAAAGCCGCTAGGAATACCTATCATGATATTTATGAAAATATTGGAGATGAACTAGCTCATGATAGAGATTTAGCATTGGAATATACAAAACAAGTTGAAACTATCGCAAGTCTTCCTTTCGATTTCAAACATGATAGAGAAATTGTTGAAATTGCCATTCAGATGTCTTCAACAGAATATGAACAAGCCTCTTACGAATTGAAAAATGACAGAGAAATTGTATTAATGACTTTAAAAGCTAACGCAAATACGTCCGTTTCTCTAAGTGATATTGTTTATAGACCTTTAGATTGGGAAATTTGTTATGAAGCATGTAAAGCTAATGGAAAAAACTTACAATCAGTTCCATCACAATATCAGGATGATGAAGAAATTGTTCAAGTAGCTATTGATACTGATTGGACTGGTGAATATTTTGAATTTGCAAGTAACAGATTGAAAAGCGACAAGAATTTTGTTTCAAAACTAATGGATATTAATCCACTAATTTATTGTTTTATTTCACATGAGCTGAGAAGTGATAGAGAATTGGCAATCAAGGCAATTTCAAAGAAGGGTGAAGTATTACAATACTGTTCTTCTGAATATCAAAATGATAGAGAAATTGTGTTAAAAGCTGTGGATAACTACCCAAATGCTTTTTACTGTTCCTCAAAGGAATTACAAATTAATGATAGTGAAATATTTGAAACTGCTATTAGAAATGGACTTTCAATTCATACAAATGAAGAAACCTATTTTCAATCCTTTATTACAAAGGAAATGGCCTTACAAGCAATTGAAAATAAGTTTAAATTTAACCAACTTCAATTTAATATGAGAAATGATTATGAAATTGCCCTGAAAGCTGTCAATAAGAATATGGATAATTTAAAATGGACGTCAATGAAACTAAACAAGAAATTCCTATTAGAAATTCAACCAATGGAGTATAATTTAATTAATATCCCATTGAAATTTAGAAATGATCGTGAAATTGCCTTAAAATCAATGCAAACCCATGGAGATTCATTTATTCTTTTATCAAGAGAATTACAATTGGAATTTTCACACGATAGACAAATCATGTTAATGGCTGTAAAATCATCAAGTTCCATATTTTCACATGCATGTAAAGAATTACAACAAGATTATCAATTTATTTCACAATGCATTGAACTTAATGGACAAGTATTGAAATATCTAATTTCAACACCCTATTATTTGGATAGAAATTTAGTATTGAAAGCAGTTCAATTTCCTCACACACTCCTGTTTATACCTTTAGAATATTTGAAGGATAGAGAAATTAACTTGACGGCTGTTAAAAGCTGTAAGGAAAGCATAATCTCATGTACCTACGATATGAAATGTGATTGGGAAATTGCTTTATCCAGTTTATCAAGTGATATTTGCGATACTATCGTCTATTTACCGTATGAGCTAAGATCAAATAGGGAATTTATTTCTAAATGTATGGAAATTAATAAGGAAAGTATTGTTTATGCAAACTATTCATTAAGATATGATAGAGAATTTTTAAAGGAATTGAATGAAAAGTATGATTTAGTGACAAATCCTTCATTTGACTTGAGGAAATCAATTGATTTTAAATACTTGGTTGACTTGGTTTCTAAAGTATAAAATAAACTTGTCACTGAAGCATGTCGACTTTATATGTTTTATTTGAATCAATTCTGATTTTTGAAAATATTGAAGATATTGTTTTTAGCAAAATAACCATAGCGCTATTCAAATCAACATTTGTGAAGAAATTAAGAAAGATTTAAATAGTGTTCTCAACACACCATGGATCAAGGTAAGACTTCAATCGATGATTTTAATGTTTTAATGTTTGAATGTTTGGAGAAGAACTTTAGTTTGTAATACTGTGAATAAGTTACTGGACTAGGGAATAAAGTTGTTTTTATAAATTAATGTTGTTGATAATACAATTATTGTTTTTCTTAACAAGAATTACTTTGAATTAACAGATGCAACGATTACACTGTAATAGGTTTGCAATCTAACAAAGGATTCATTGGTTCCACCAGAATCTGGATGGTAAATCTTTCTAAGTGTTTTGTAACGTTCATTAACATTGTACTTGGTTTCATGAGATAAACCAAACCAAAGAAGAGCTTCTTGGAGAGTGTCTTGAGGATTTGGTTTCAATATCTCAGAATATAGCTCAAATAGTCTGTTGGATGCCATTGTTGAGATAACACCACCAACTGCTGAAACACCAGCAGCAACAACAGAACCAATACCTGGAAATAAAAGAGAAACAAGTGCTATAGTGGCTGTTCCTCCTGCCATACCAACAAGTGTTGTTGTGGCGAATCCCATGAGATTTTTACAACACTCAACACCACTCTTTTGTTGTTTCCAATAAAGTTCAATCTCTTCATGAATTTTAGGTACAGCAAAAAGAACGGGAATAATCCACGTGGAATTCTTCAAGACTGATGAGCTAACTTGTGAAATAGTTTGATTAGTGGAGCTTAAACCGAATGTGTTGATTGTAGAGAGGGTTGTTGAGACTCCACCACCAACAAGAGCTGCCATACCACCTGTCTTTCCAGTATCCAAAATAGCTTTGGAAACAGTTTTCTTTCCATTGAGTACTTCAGCTCCATTCATGACAGCTGCTCCAACGAGCCCTGCTACAGCTCCACATTTAGCTCCCTCAAATCCTGCATTGCCAATACTCTTCAAGTTGTCTTGAGCCACCTGATCTAATTTTTGAGTTTCATTGCTTTCAAATTCTTGGGCTCTTTGCAAATCTTCTTCAATCGCAATTTTCTGTTGATTTTCATGCTCATTTCTCAAGGTTTCAACTTTTTGATTGTATTGGTTTTCTTGGGATTTCATGATCTCAGACTCGTGACCTTGGTGTTTTGAATATCTCCTTCCATTTGACAAGTCAACTACCCTACTCTTTTTGTGTAAAAAGTGTTTGTATCTTTCATATTTAAAACCTGGAAGATGTTTCTCAGGAGCAACAAATTCTTTGAGCTTTAAATCGCTTTGGTATTCTTGTTTCTGATAATGAGATGGGGTATTGATGGTTGGTTTCAAAAAACTGTGACAATTGGAGGAAGATGAAGAACCTTCATTGACATTCTCAACACATTCCTCAACAATAGCTGTTGATCCCCTTTCAACAACTTGAATGATAAACTCAACATTGCCACCTGAAATTATTCTCTCATGTACATCTTCGAATACATTATCTTCATTCATTACTTGTAATTTGAAAGAGGAAGAGGTAATTTCAAGCTTTGACTTGGCATAATCAAAAATATCCTTCCACAATGTAGCAGTAGAATTGAAAATTTTGTGTTTTCCTCCCTCTATCTTGAGGGTATATGAACGTTTCAATGGTTCTAGAGCAGTTGTTAATATCTCATAATCAGCATTACTGTCTTCATAAACCACCCTTTCTGTCCTCTCAGAAACTGTGAGATTTAAATCTGGAGCAACATTAGTTTGAGGGCTGTCGAGAGTGACAATAATCATTAATTGTTCATGTTTAAAGAAACGTTTTACATAACTGTCATTCTTCAGGACTATTTCACGCTCTAATTTGGGATCTAAGTAATAAACTTCAATCTTTTCATTTGGCAAGAGTGCTAACTCATCTCTAATAGCACTGATTAAATCTTGATGACTGGTTTCTTTTGAAACAGTGATAAGGTGATTAACATCATTGAAATGTACAACCACATCAACCTCGTCAAGATTCATTTTTTTTGAATTAAAAGTCCTTTTGCCACCAACCTTGCAGCAATTTGAAGAATTCACGATCACGTTTGCAATCTTGTTCACGTTTGTTGTAAAGTCAATCAAAACTGAAACAACACATGAATTTCGGTTAAATTATGAATTTATTTACTATAGAGTACGTATTGGATTATGAAAATACATATTAATGATGTGCACGAATAGAGATATCAAGGAATTTACAATAATTGCTTTGAACTTGGAAGAGTTTTTGTTTGAAAACCATTTCTCTAAATCCTGACTGAGTAACAATAATCTATTTGAAATATATTAGAAGAAATAAAACTTAAAGAACTTACACTTGAAGCCCTTCCACAAAGAATGTGAGCAATTTTCTTGTCAAATTTCATATCTATTAATTTAAATGTTCTAACATTTGGTCCAGTTCCAATTCCAAGTTGAGCTTCACCATTGAAACCTGAAACTAATACTTGATTTGATTTTACAAGATGTACAATGGAATGATTTCTTCCACAACTAATTTTAAAATCCTCATAGATTGTCATAACTTCAGTAAAACCCATAAATTTAGTTTTGTATCCTAGCCCCAATTGTCCATACTGATTTGATCCACTCATAAATAATTTGTTTCCTGCAATATATGCACTGAAAAGTGCTCCACATTCAATGGATGAAATTCTCAAACTTGGTTCCAATAATTTGATTTTAACAAAACGATCTTCATATTTGTTTTCAGCTGTTTCACCCAATTGACCTTCAAAATTTGAGCCCATACTGTTATATGAAAATATATTTAACACAAATGTTAATTGAAAAAACTACTTACCCATAAATCTCATTCTGATCTGTTAAAATAATAAAGTGATTTTTTCCACATGCCAAATCAATAATACCATCTTCCTCAAATCCTGTCTTTTTCATGTAAACCATTGTTTTTTGTGGTTTGAAAAACACTTGTGAAGTTGCAGTCTGTCCTATCCAATATCCAGTATTGGAGTATTCGTTTGGAACTTTGGAAAATACATAAACATCTCTTAAATTTACAACAAATACTGAAAAATTCAATCCAGAACCAACCATTGAAATGAAATTATTATCTGATTTTAAATATTCCTTTGGGAATTTATCATTTCCAAGCTGTACAAAACCAGTTCCCAACAATCCACATATATAAATATTTGACCTATTTGTCACAACAGAAATATGATTCGATCCACAAGATAAATGTGTAATTGTCTCAGTCTTGAATTTTTTAGTGTTAACTACAGTAGGTTCGTCCACAATAAATTCAGTTCCACTACTACTGTAATATGAGTTATAGTTACTATTTTGCACCTTTTTGATCTTCCTTGCAGTTATATCTAATCCAATAAAATTTGATGCATTGTAACCAGCTACAAATAATGAATTATCATGAGTGAGGAATGCTGTAAAATCATCACCAGCACCAATTTGTGTAATGAATTTTTCATTCTTTAATGTAGTTTTCAATCCGTTATTAATGACAAATTCGTTATCAATAATTGATGGTTTTCCAAATAATTGTCCTATATTATTATTATTGTAATCAGAGTAATATATTAATAATTGATAGGAATTTACAAAATGACAAATTTAGATATCAATATTCCTCCTTTCTACAATAAAACATACCATAGCTATTATCACCGGTTGAGTAAACATCGTGTTGTGGAATAGATGGAGCCATTTTTTTAATTTTTATTAGTACACAAGTCATTACGAGTTCCACAAGTTCAAAGTAGCTTTTGTGGATGACACTATTTTACTTGAAATGGCAGTACGAGGATGCTAGTATGACTTTATTGTTTTCAATTTATTTACATTGATGTCACTGAAAATCTTTCCTTCAAAAATCCTGTTGTTTGTGTTGAGATTGGGAGTGGCTGTTTGGTTGTTCCGTGAGAGATCACAAAGTTGCAATTATAAGCCAAGGTGGAAGGTGTTGTTTGGGATGGTAAATATGTCTTATTTTCAGAAGAAATGTGCAAAAGGTCATCAAATTTAAGCATACCTAAAGGAGCTGTTTCATATCCAAGAGTTTCATTAGCTTTTGAGTTCCAAAGTAAAAGTCTTCCTCCAAAATCAAGAGAGTAAACAAGAATAGGAGCCCCACATAAATTCAAGATTCCCTTGATGTAGGTTTCAGTTGCCTCACTGAATTTACCATCTTCACTGACTGTAGAAACCTTATGAATGTCACTTCTTGGAGGCATGGAACCACTTGCACGATTCATATCCTCAATTTCTGATGAAATTGAATGATATCCGACAGGACATTTGGTGAAAGGACTTTCTGTGTTGTGTAATTTGAAATTAGATGATTGAGCAGTTGGTTCTGTGTTGAAAATAGTTTTCAGACCTGGTAAAGCTAAACGAGAAATAGATGGCAATCTTTCTAACCTTGGTGGAGTTGGTATGAGTGGCTTTTCTGTTTCTTCCTTTCTAAGAATAAGGAATGGACATTTAGAAACACCAATAGAAAGATACAAGCTTTCAAGTTGATCAATAGCTTCTTTGTGTGGTTTAACTTTTGTAGAATCTTCAATTGGTAACCCTTTTTGTAATCTAGTAATGCAGAAAGAAATATAAGCATCCAAAAGTGCCCAGAATTGATAATTGACATCATCATCGGTCATCAATTTGTGAATAATGTAAGCCTTTCCATCTTCAAACTTTGAAGATGGTTTAATGTCAGAAGTAGAAAGCCATTTTCTTAATAATTCAATCTTGGTTGTTCTCACATCAGTTTCTTCCAAAGAACGAGTTTCATTCTCTATATGAGGCATCAAAGGAGCAAGTCTCAAATTATCAGGAGGTATTTCCATAGTTTTAACACGTTTAGGAATATTCTCAGCATTGATATTAGAAGATGAAGATGGGAATGGGCAAGAAACTGGTGGTTGATATGAATGATTGTTGTGATTGTTGGAAGGAGGGAAAACATGATGAACATTGGAGAAGGTTCTTCCACTAAATGGACAAACTTTTCCAATAGTATTTGGATTCATTGTTGGGTGTTGATATCCAACTGGGATGATGGTTTGTTGAGGAATTTGATGTGGATGATGAGGTAATGCATATTGTGGAGTTGGTATTATTGGAGTTGTGTTGTTATTGTTACTACTAGTCTTGTTGTTGTTAGCACTCTTGTGACCGAATGGACAAACACCTGCTTTTGGTTGCTGAACTTGTTGAGAAGGCATTTGCATCATTGGTTTTGGTGAAATTGGTTTAAAGTTATTGACAAATTGCATTGGTTGAGATGGAGGTGGAAGAATTGGTTGAGACTTGGCCTTTGTTGATGGCTTCTCTTTGAGTGGAGCAATTGGTCTCAAGTTTGTTGTTGTGATGACTGGTTTTGGTTGAATATGCATGACTTGTTGTTGTGGTTGATTAGAGAGTATGATAATTGGTGATTGTTCATTGGTAGAAGTATTTCCAACAAATTTTCTCTTTCTTCCTCTCTTTTTACTTGGTACATCAAAACATTCCAATCCTAATGTAGCACATCTCTTGCATGGTCTCTTGTCTTTTTGATAAATCAATATGATAGGAAGAAGGAAATAATTAATAAATTACAACAAGCTTTTTAAAAACAAACCTTCACAACAAGCGTGGCTCTTCTTACAATGTTCGCATGCCTTCTTTGAAATTGATCTTTTTCTTCTCTCAGAGTCTGATAAATCTTCTTCTTCATCAACATTCCTTGGTGGAGGTTGAATAATTACCGGTTCAAAAGTAATTGAATTATTTTCTGGTTCCTTTACCATGATGATATTTTCAAATAATATTCACTATCCAAAGGAATAATCCAAGGAAAGAATTTTTCTATTGTTTTTAATTGATTTTGTTTCTTCCTATTGATGAGGATTCAAAGGTTGATGATTCTGATGCAATCAGTATTCAGGTAGGTAACAATACAATTTTTTTATTTCCCATTTATTTTTTTCCCCGTACTGGCTATTGCGGCCTTCTTTGCGCAATTCTTAACCCGATTCTTGTATTATTATGGAGCAATAAGAGAAAAAAGGCTAAATAGTGGACACTTGAAAGTCAGCAACAGAGATTATTTATTATTTTGTAAGATTTAAACTGAGTTTACAATTTCATAAATTATTCCATTTGATTGGACTTGAAGAATCAAGATACGGAAGGAGAAAATATTTTCTTTCCAAAGTCAGATCAAACAAATTTTCTTTTTATCGATCAGCAATTTCAACTCCTAAAAAGAGATCTAACAACCAATCAGGAAGAAGGACAGCTCTGAAGTTTGAACAGAGTTTAGTTTGAGTTTGTGTTTTAGTAATGTTGATTTGAATTCATCAACAAATAATAGAATTCGAAATGTTCAATGCTTAAAGTTAGGCTTAATAACATTTGTGATATTCGGTAGAGGTATTTTGAGATACGTGCTTCGTTTCATACTCTGTTGAAATTATAATTTTGTTGAATGAATCCGCTCAGTTTTTCTGTGATCACCTTCCTTTAATTCATTGTTCATTTTTACTTGATTTTGAAATGGCGCCAACACTTACATTCAGAAGATCTAAGATGATGGAATAAAAGTTGCTTTGGCGCCATCAGAATAAACTGCCGCCAATTTTATTTACGTTTTGAAAAATAAACAATTCATAAAAAAACAACATAGTTCCATTAGATAGGTTCCGAAGAATTAAACTTATCAATACAATCATCATGCAGAATCAAGCTTCATCACTTTACTTAGATACCGTGATTGGTTTTAATGGCACAGTCAATACCGGATTACACCTTCATCCAAATCAAAAACATATTATCTATCCCCTTGGTTCAACAGTGGTCATTAAGGAATTTGAAAACCTTGGGGTAGATGAGTTTCTTTCGGGTCATAATGGTCCTATCAGCTGCTTGGCTATCTCAAAGACTGGTAGATTTATTGCAACAGGACAAACAACCCATATGGGATTTAAGGCCGATATTATCATTTGGGATTTCGAGGAAAGAAGACTTCTTCATAGATTAAATCTTCACCATGCTAAGGTAGAATGCCTCTCATTTAGTGAAGATGAACAACTTTTGGTCAGTGTTGGTGGTAGAGATGACAATAATATTACTGTTTGGTACGTTCAAACTGGTAAGCCTGTTTGTGGTACGACAACAACAGCCCTCGGAACTTGTGTTCAATTTTTCCATAACGATAGAAGCACATTCATGGTTGCTGGAAAGCAAATGTGCAAAGTTTATACAATTGATTTTGTTAATAAGAGATTGGACTTTATCGATTGCAATCTTGGACAAGTTAAAAGAATATTTTCATGCTTACTCATTGATGATGAAGACAGTTATGCATATATGGGATCTACAACTGGTGATATTATTTGTGTTCAATTAAAAGGTCCTAAAAACTTTAAGTTTATGGGTCCAAAAGAAAAGATTGTTCAAGGTGTTGAGAGTTTGTGTTTCTCTCCATCTGGAAAATCAATATTTATTGGTGGTGGCGATGGTAGTGTCACTGTTGTTGCAAAAGATACTCTCCTTAAAATTAGCTCTACAATTCTTATGGGTGGTGTGACATCAATTTGTGCTAGAGAAAGTGACAACATATTAATTTGTGGAACAAACCAATCTGTCATTTATGCAATGAAGGGATCAGGTAAACTTGAAGCTACATTAATTGCTACTTGCCATAGCCATAGAATTAACGATGTTTGTTATCCAAGAGAAGCTAGTGAAATTATTGCAACATGCTCAATTAATGATATTAGAGTTTGGAATGTTCTTAAATCAAAGGAGCTTCTTAGAATTCAAGTTCCAAACTTGGAATGTAACTGCATCACTTTCAGTCCAACTGGTAATGCTATCATCAGTGGTTGGAGTGATGGAAAAATCAGAGCTTTTGGTCCTCAAAGTGGTAAATTATTATATGTCATAAATGACGCACACAAGATTTTGGGTCAAAAGAAGGTATCAGGAAGATTGGTAGGTGTGACAGCTATCACCATGTCTAGTGACTCTGAGAGAATTGTAAGTGGTGGTAGTGACGGTCAGGTTAGAGTTTGGCAAGTAGCAAAATCCTCACAAACATTAGTAGCTTCAATGAACGAGCACAAGGCAACCGTAAACTCTATCCATATTAGAAGAGACAATTCTGAATGCGTGACATCAAGCGACGATGGCACCTGTATTGTTTGGAATTTGGACAAGTTTGTGAGAGCAAACATTATTTATGCTCCAACTTATTTCAGACAAATTTGTTATCTTAATGACGAATCTCAATTGTTGACTTGTGGATCAGATAAGCAAGTAACCTATTGGGATGCATATGATTGTACAGCTATCAGAGAATTAAGAGAAGCCGAAGAAGATGAAATGAATGCTCTAGATATTGATTACGATGGTCAATACTTTGTGTCGGGTGGTAAACAAAAGGTTGTCAATGTTTGGCACTATGACAACGGTGAAATTGTTCAACAAGGTTTAGGACATGCAGGAAATATCACAAAAGCAAAGTTTAGTCCTTGTGGACGATTTATTTGTAGTGTCGGAGAAGAAGGAGGTGTATTCATTTGGCGACCACATTTCCATCCTTAATAAATATTTTGTAAAAGACAACTTTCTAATTCCTCTGTAACAATATCTCTAACAATCTAATCAAATGTGAGTTCTAATTACAGAGAGAATTTGATGTTTAGAGAGTTCCAAACGCGCTTCTACTGAATTATTTCAAAAAAATAGCAGTAATTCACTAACAAAAACAATAAGGAAGATGACAAACCAAACCAATATCAAAGTTTGTGTCCGATGTCGTCCATTCATTGCAAACGAACTGCTTGAAATGCAAAATAAGGAACCTCCATTCTATATTAACGAAAATTCAATTGAATTGAAAAATCAAGATCCCACCTTGACAAAATCAATGAATTTTGGTAGGTATCAACAATTTACTAATTCTCTTAAACCTTCTTGTAGATTTTGTCTTTGATGAATTATCAAATACAAAAGATATATATGACAAATTACTTTCGGAAATGGTTCCTTCTGTTTGTGAGGGATACAATGTAACTACATTTGCCTATGGACAAACAGCCTCAGGTAAAACATTTACGTAGGTTGATTTTAAAATTGTTAATCTCTGATTAATAATACATTTAAATCTATAGAATGAAAGGAACCAATGATAAACCAGGTCTCATTAGATTGGCAATCCGAGATGTTTTTGATCAAATCAAAAATAGTGTATGTAATTTAAAGTATAATTTATAATTGCAATATTTATTATTGTGTATTAAGGAAGGAGAAAATAGAACGTTCCTTATCAGAGTTTCATATTTGGAAATTTATAATGAAAAAGTGAGAGATTTATTATCACCAGAGCAAAGATATGTAAATATTTTCGTTGATAAGAATGTATGTAAATAATATTTTGAATAGATTGAATATTGAACTTAATATTATTAGAAAAACTTGTCATTCGATCATTTAACTGAGGAAATTGTAAGATCTGAACAAGAAACAATGGATATTATTTCTAGAGGTACTTCTCATATTATGGTGGCCAAGACAGTAGCAAATGATGCTTCATCAAGATCACACACTATTTTCAGAATGATTGTAGAAAGAAAAGATGAACTTGCAGTGGATAATGCTCAACAATTACAATCATCACTTGCAAAGAAAGCTAAATCTAAACAAATTGTAAGAATAGGAAATCTTAATTTGGTTGACTTGGCAGGTAGTGAAAACAGTAGTGAACAAGCAGATTATAATAGAAAGAGAGAAGGTCAAAATATTAACCTTAGTTTACTTCATCTTAAAGAAATTATTACAAAATTATCAAATGGAGAAAAGTAAGTTTTGAAAATACTTTGAATCTAATATCATTGAAGAGTTACATCCTTCCGTAATTCAAAACTCACAAGAATTCTTGGAGACTCACTTGGTGGAAATGCAAGAGTAGCTGTCGTTTGTGCAATCTCACCAGATCCAGTAAAATTAAAGGAAACGAAGAGAACACTAGAATTTGGAAGTAATGCTCAAAAGATTTCAATCAAACCAACTGTTAATAGTGAATGTGATAATGCTCTTATTATGAAATATCAAACTGAATTGGAAACTTTACAAAGTGAGCTTGCCATGCTGAAAGACAAACTCACCAACCAAAGTAACACCCAAGTTGAAAAGGAAGAAACAGAGGAAGAAGTTAAGGAGTTGGAAAGAATCATGTCAGACTTGACTGATTCTATGGTTACCAACAAATCACTAGAAGCTAGGCTTCAAGATATTGAAAAAGAAAAAAGGGATCACGAAGAAAGAATCAGACAAATGGAAGAAGAAAGAGCAAAGCTTCAAGAACTATTACAAATTGAAGAGGAAAGAAAAAGAATGCAAGAGGAAGAATCGAAAAGCAAGGAAGAAACTCTCTATTTACTTCAACAAGAAACAGCCAGTATGAGTTTACAATTGGAGGAAATTATCTCAAGCAAGAATAATATTGAGGCAGAATCAAAGAGAAGAGAACTTCAAATTCACGATTTGATGAATTATAATCAACTTTTAGAACAAAAGACAATTAATGAGGAAAGTTCAAGAAGAAGAGCAGAAGAAATGATTTCAGACCAGAACAAACAAATTGAAAGTTTCAAACAAGTAAATGAACACTTTGAAAGAGAATACCAGAAGGAGAAGATGGCAAAGGAAGAAGCGTCCAAGGTGATTCAACAAAAGATGGAGGAAATGCAAAATATGCAACAACAGTTAAGCTCAACAAGAACTGAAAAGGAAAATTATGAAATGCAAATTAAGACTTTGAATGACAACATGTCAGCTATGTACAATATGTGGAAAGAGGATTTCGATAGGGAAATTAGCATACGAGAAAAGGAAAAGAATCAACTTGATGAACAAATTGCTCGTCTTACATCACTATTGGAGGAAAGAGATTTGGAAATTAAGAAACTTCAAGAGAATTGTAAAACTCAAGACTATTTACAACATTTTGTTGATACATTGGAGAAGGACATGAAGAGTTACAAGCAACAACTTGAAATTTCAGAGATTGAACTTTCAAGTACAAAGAAGAAATCTTTGGATACTTTCAGAGATAATATAGAACTCAAAAAGAAAGTTACAAGTTTGGAAAATGAATTGGAAGCATTGAAATTACATTTTATTGTAAACTTTGGTCAAGAAAGCTTGCCAAAATCACCAAAGCCCAATGCTTCAAACTCTTCAAACTTCTTTGAGGCGAATAATATTTCAATTCCATTGGGTAGTAACACAAATCAAACAAGTAGTAGTAATATGTCCAACGTGAAAACACCATCAGCTGTATTGTCATCACTTGCTGTGAATGTACCGCCACCACACAATCAAACAAATATTAGTCCAACCTCATCACCAACTCTTTCAACTACTGCAACTGTTTCCAACAATACTGCTCCTTCAGTTTCTCAAAACTCTTCAGGACCCGTACCTCGAACTGTTCAACCATCCAGTACTATTTCATCCATTACAAGTACTCCACCATTAAGTAATGCATCAACACCACTACAAAACAAAACACCAAGCAGTGTTGGATCTACACCAGTTATGAATTCAAACCCGATTAGACCATCCACTCCTGTGAGTACAACTCCTTCGTATGCTACTCCTCAAAAAACACCAACGTTTAATTCGACTCCTCACAGTGGTAGTACTACTAGTTCAGTAAGATCAACACCAGTTAATTCTGCCTATTCGACTCCTCCTCCGCTTTCTAACACATTCTCTCCTGTAAGACCTAGTACCCCAACAGTTACACCACCTCAATATAATCAACAAACAACTCTTTCTCAACAAATTTCCAGTAATTATCAAATGAATCAACAGTTGCCAAGTAGTAGACCAGTAACTTCTCAAAGTAATTCATCAACTTATTCTAGTAATCCATTTAATAATAGTATTGGTGGAATGAGAGAAGAAACTAAAACTTATTCAAACAATAATCCATATGAATACTATCCATCCACTACTGCAACAAATCAACCAAGTAATACTGGATCTTATCAACAATCCAATTCTTACAATTCAACTAATCCACACCTATATACTACTAATAACATTCCAATTAATAATCAAAGATCACAATACTCAGTTCCAAATTCAACAACAGGAAATAGATTGAGTATTAATACACAAAATGTTCAACCAAGTTCAAGTGTAAATCAAAGAGGTTTGGATTCACCAACAATGGTCAATATTCCTCCCTCTTCTTATTCAAGACCTCAATCAACAGGAAGTTTCCAACCAAGACAAGGTTCTCTTCCACCATCTCCAATGCAGAACAATAGAGTCTCACTTCCTCAACAAACACAACAACAACCACCAGTTAACTCATTTAACAATAATTTCACTAGTAGTCAACAGTCTACACAGCAACCAACCAATCAGCCCCCTCCATTTAATAGCAGTCAATCAGTTAATCAACAATCTGCATTAGTGAGAAATAGACCTAGAAATTTCAACACTGTTCCCTCAACTGGTAATCTCTATCCAACACTACCAGCAACACATTCCTCAAATTCTTCTTCAATTAATAATAATAACACTCATAATACAGTTAGTTATCCTACTCCAACAGTTACATCAAGTGGTGGTAACTCTCGTCCTCCATCTCCTTCAGTTTATAGAGTAACAGGAGAAAAGGCATTCAAGGCAAAAGAAGAACGTGAACAAAATGAAGAGCCTGAAGGACCTATTGTCGGAATTAATGAAAAATCTGGATCAAGACCAAAGAGAAGTTTGTCAATTTCAAAATTAATTGGTCTTGTTAGAGGTGATGATAAGAATTCATTGAAATAGTTCAATAGTATTAGAAATCTTTTTTTAATTCCTGTATTTGTAATCTTGTCTTTTTAACTTGTTCTGAAAGGGATATTAATTCTTCCAAAGCATCTTTTGAATAAACTTCTAATTGTTGTACACTAGCTTGACATGATTGAATTACATTCTTGTATTTTTCATTGGTTTGTGTAAAGGCATGAATCTTTGATGAGGTTCTATATTTGAAATTTACATTTTTAGTATTAATTAGATTTTCAATTTCTACACGAAGAGGAGATGATAAATTAATAGGAAGACTAGATATTGATGATGTTGTTATATTAATATTTCTAAATGAATAATTATATTCTACAAGTGATGGTGATGATGATGCATGATTTCCGAATAATCCAAACAAGAATTTATCACAATTTAATGCTCTCATCAAATTGTAAACTAAATTCATTTCGTTCATAGTCATGGTATTTAAATTAGTGTCAGGTCTAAATTTAAAGTAACCACAAATTGATATATTCTTATTGTTAGCAAGTATTGTATTTAATTCTTTATCCCAATAATAATTATTTAAAATTATAAAATCATCAAGAATACAAGTTGATCCGAGTAATAATCCATGAACATCACTCGATGACTCCATCATACATCTCAAGAGAGAAGATAATGTAAATCGATGGATTTTAACTTGTGTCGTTGAGTTCGGAGATGTAAAAGTGTGATTAGCACCACCACTACTACTGCTGGTGGCTAACGGTGATGAAGGAATGACATGTTGTTGCATTTTTTATTGTAAACAAAGTAAATAAATATTTAATAAATGTTGAATTAAATAGCTTAGTTTTGATCTAGAAGGGTTTTAAGCTTTGAATGAATTTGAAATTGTTCCTTTTCTCTCTTTGACATGTATTTCAATCTTCTAAGTTCCAATTCTTTTTGTTTGTGAGTGTAAAATTCTCTTTGTAATCTATCAAAGTCCAAGAATAATTGTCTTGAAACATGTTTATCTAACTTAGTTTGTGAATCTAACTTATCCCTAATAATATTCATTTGATCCTTATAACTTTCATTTTAGATTAAATATTATTAGAATCCATCATCACACAACTTACAAATTAGAAATAGAATCCTTTCTATCTTGTAATTTACATTGCATATCACGTTCTTTCTTCTTTAAACTATTTACAGTTAAAACTAAATTTTCCTTTTCAATTCTATTACTGTGTGATAAATAATGTCTCATGAGAGATTCTTCCTTAGCTTGTGCATTAATCATTGTTTTGTGAATGAATGAATTATGTTCTTCCTCTAATTTATCTCTCTGAATTTTGAGCATTTTCTTTCTGTGTTTGATTGAGAAGGTTTCATCCTTTGGTGTTTCTTGTGATTGGAATGAAGGATCATCCAATTGGGGAATATAGGCATGAACTCTCTTCTTTTCTAATTGAATAAACCAATCAAGGAATTTAATAATTTCATAGGGTTCTCTATCTATTAATTTATGTATTTCAATATTCCTCAATATGAATGAATGTTTGTACTTTTCTTTGAGGTATGTTATTAATTCCACCAGATTGTATTGATTTTGAGATATAGTTAATGTCTTGTCTCTAATAAACTTAGGGTATTGCTTAGGATTTGTATTCGGATTGTCTTTACTAATGGATTCATATAGAATTATAAACAGTGATGGAGAACAATCCGTTATCGATGAAACTCTTCTATGAACTGTTGTTGTATATTGATCCAACCACTTATTAATCAAGGCACAATAATAAGCGTTCGGATTTTCAGTCATTTGTTCATCATAAACATCATCCCTACTAGAATTTTCATCCTTAGAGCTTACAGTCCCAGAAGAATTCCCTCCACTATTATTTGTATTACTACTACTACTTGAATGGGATAAATTCCTTGATGAATGATGGGAAAGTGATGAAGAAGAGCTTGAATGTTTGCTCATTTTTTTTAAATTTTTTTCTAAGGATTTTTATAACGTCTATAAACTGTAAATTTTTAGTTTCCCGCCTTAATTTTGGGTTATTGAATTCAGTTATTATTGGTTAATGATTGATGATTGACAGTGGAACATTGGTCACACTCAACTCCATGTTGGTGAATTACAATTCAGTGTTAGGATCTTACTATACTTTGTGAATGTAATTAGCTTTTGTACAAACGTCAATTCATATCAGAATAAGTTGGAAATTAGAGAGTTAAGGATCCAATTACAAATAGTTGTTCTACAATGATAGTCTCCCTTGCTTGAAGCGTACTTTCCTTAGGTTTGAGTTTTCGTAGGCCTTCTCAGTGTTATCATTTCTTCTTCTGAGTGTAGTACATACTTATCACAAAGGTAATATGCAGGGTTTGAGTTTCAAAATCGTAGTTGTTCAAATATAAACTCTCCTCATTTTTAAGGAAAGTCAGCCTAATCCATTATCTTCCGATTAAATATCACCGTTGTAATCATTGTTGGTGTCCTCCCTTGATAGAAAATGTCGTTTTTTTCTGGTAATATATTTCTCAACAAACAGTTCAAAATTCTACATTTCCTTCCACAATATTGATAGACATTGTTTTATTCATATTTTCTTTTTAATGAGAAACATTCTGATGATGGTTATTTCTCTTTCGTTCACATGTACCAACCTCATGTTGTTCTTGTGGTACCCACCAACTAACATCTCTTTTTCCAAACAAGCTCTTGGATTCTTTAGCAGAGGAACCTTTGAAAAATTACCTCAGACCACCACTTTGAAATCCGAACGTTAGCTTTTCTCCCACACACAGGATTACAATGTAAAATAAGAAAGCTGCACAATTCTTCAATGAACATGTTGAGGCTAATTGCAATGGTTGGGAAGATATTAGGTGGGTAGTTGAGGACTATAAATTCGCTCAGGGTTGGATTGAGTGATAAAACCCTCTCGAAAAAAAGAGCACGAGAAGTACTTCTTTTTCTCTTGAGCATCTCTAAAAACAATACACTCTAGAAACTAATACACAATTTTGTTGAAAAACAGTAGTTAAATGTTTGTATTTGTCTTTCATTGTCATTAATCAACAATTGTCAATTCAAAAAAGAATGTACTCTCCATCACCTTCTAACAAATCCTACATGGTTTATGCCAATAATAAGGCTAATACCACCACCAATCCATCATCCAATTCTACAACCACCACAGGAGGAGCAGCAGTAACAGGTCATTCTGCTTCAACCACCAATAATCCATTGAATAGTTTATTGAGTGCTGCTTCTTTATTATTGTCCGATGATTCAAATTCCAACTCTCTGAATCAAACAACCTCACCAACAGTATCTGAATCATCATCCAATTCTACACTTGTTACAGCTACAAATACTACTACAACCACTACTACCATTCCTAATCCTAATAATAATAATAATAATGGTAAAATGATGAATAATAATCAACCATCACCATCTGATATGTTTGATGGTTATTTAGAATTACAAGATGGTACAAGATATTATGGTAAATTATTTGGAGCTAATAAGTGTTTAATTGAAAATGATTCCAATTGGAATTCACCATTTTCTGTGAGTGGTGAATGTGTTTTTACAACTGCAATGGTTGGTTATCCTGAATCATTGACTGATCCTTCTTATCATGGTCAAATTTTAGTTTTAACTTTTCCACTTGTTGGTAATTATGGTGCACCAAATTTCAAAACAACAGTTTCTAATAATGGTAATAAGAATTTAGATGAATTTGGATTGCTTCCAAAATTAGAAAGTGATAAGATTCATATTAGAGGTTTAATAGTTCAAGATTATTCACATAATTATTCACATTATGAAGCAATTTGTTCACTTCATCGTTGGTTACAAGAATATAATATTCCAGCTCTATATCACATTGATACGAGAGCAATTACAAAGAAATTGAGAGATGAAAAATCAATGTTAGCAAGAATTGTTACAAATATTAATTATGAACATGAACTTTCTATTAAAGGTCTTGCTCCTTTACAATGGTATGATCCAGGTCAAGATGTTGAAATTATTAAGAAAGTAACTTGTAAAGATGTTACTATTTATGGTAAAGGTAATAAGTTTAAAGTTATTGCTATTGATTGTGGTATGAAATATAATATTATTCGTGAACTTGTTAAAAGAGATGTTGAATTGAAAGTTGTTCCATATAATTATAATTGGTTAGAATTAGATGTTAATAATTCAAACAATAATAATACCAACAATGATAATAATACTAATAATAATAATACTAATAATACTAATAATACTAATATTGATGGTATTTTTATTAGTAATGGACCTGGTAATCCAAATAATTTCCATGAAACTATTTCAATTTTATCTGAATATATTTCATTAGTTCAACAACAACAACAAGTTCCAATTATTCCTATTTTTGGTATTTGTTTAGGTAATCAATTGGTTGGTAAAGCTATTGGTGCAAGTGTTTATAAATTACCATTTGGTAATAGAGGTCATAATCAACCTGTTATTGATCAATTAACACGTAAATGTTTTATCACTTCACAAAATCATGGTTATGCTATTGATAATCAAACTTTACCTTCAAATTTCAAACCATATTTCATTAATGCCAATGATCAATCTAATGAAGGTGTTTATTGTTTGAATTTACCAATTTTTACAGCTCAATTTCATCCAGAAGCTAAAGGTGGACCAAGTGATACTTTCTTTTTATTTGATCAATTTATTGATTTGATCAAATTAAAGATTTCAAACAAGTTACATCGTGTTAAAAATTTTGAATCTAAATATAGCAAAGTATTTATCAAACATCATAAGAATATGAAAACTAAATTCAATCAATTATTGAAATCTGTTGAAGATACTTCAGATATTTCAACTCCAATTTTAAAACAACAAGAATCTTTAATGAAGAAGAGTATTTTTAATCAATCAATTATTCAAGAAGAAAAGAAACTCTCAACTCTTGATGAAAAGAAGAAGGTATTACCAAAGAAGGTTATTATTTTAGGTTCAGGTGGTTTACAAATTGGTCAAGCAGGTGAATTTGATTATTCAGGATCACAAGCTATTAAAGCACTTAAAGAAGAAGGAATTTATACAATTTTAGTTAATCCAAATATTGCTACAGTTCAAACATGTAAAGAATTGGCTGATAGAGTTTATTTCGGGGCAGTTACACCTGATTTTGTTGAAAAAGTCATTAAGAAGGAGAATGCAGATGGTTTACTTTTATCATTTGGTGGTCAAACTGCATTAAATTGTGGTGTTCAATTACACAAATCAGGAGTTTTAGAAGAATTGAATTGTAGAGTATTAGGTACACCTGTTCAATCAATTATTGATACTGAAGATCGTGATATTTTCAATCAAAAGATGCGTGAAATTTCACAACCAATTGCTGATTCAAAGGCATGTGATAATGTTGAAGAGGCAATTTTAGCAGCCTCTCACATTGGTTATCCAGTAATTATTAGAGCAGCATTTGCATTGGGTGGATTAGGAAGTGGATTTGCCAATGATGAACGTGAATTGAGAGAATTGGCAACTCAAGCACTTTCAAGTTCACCTCAAATTCTTGTTGAAAAATCAGTTAAGGGATGGAAAGAAGTTGAATATGAAGTTGTTCGTGATTGTAATGATAATTGTATTACAGTTTGTAATATGGAAAACTTTGATCCAGTTGGTATTCATACAGGTGAATCAATTGTTGTTGCACCATCACAAACATTAAATAATGATGAATATCACATGTTGAGAACTGCTGCTATTAAGGTTATTAGACATTTGGGTATTGTTGGTGAATGTAATATTCAATATGCATTGAATCCATACAGTAAGGAATATGTTATCATTGAAGTTAATGCTCGTTTATCAAGAAGTTCAGCTTTGGCTTCAAAAGCAACTGGTTATCCACTTGCATTTGTTGCTGCTAAACTTTCATTGGGAATGGAATTGATTGATATTAAGAATTCTGTTACTAAGGAAACTATTGCTTGTTTTGAACCTGCATTAGATTATTGTGTTGTTAAAATGCCACGTTGGGATTTGAAGAAATTCACTCGTGTTTCAACTGTCATTGGATCAGCAATGAAAAGTGTTGGTGAAGTGATGGCCATTGGTAGAAATTTTGAAGAAGCAATTCAAAAAGCTATTAGAATGGTTGATACTTCATATAGAGGATTTGATTCTGCCAATTCTTCATTTGATTTGGAAAAGTTGATGAAACAATATTCTTCTTCTTCTAATACTGCTGCTAATACTAATACTACTACTGCTTCTTCAAATCATCACCAACATCACCATCAACAGTATCAATATCACCATCACTCTGGTTCATCTCATAATAGTGTTGGTTCTGCTAATACTAATTATGGTAGTTTTGGATCTGGTTCTACTCATTTTGGAAGCTTTGGTCAAACTCATTATGGTAGTTTTGGATCTAGTTCTCATTCTCACTTATTTAATAGTAGTGTCACTAATCCATTTGCTTTACAACCACAAGTTTCACCAAAAGAAGATATCAAACAAAAGATTATTAGAGAATTAACTCATCCAACTGATCAACGTATCTTTGCTATTTCACTTGCTATGGAACATTTTGAAATGACAGTTGACCAAATTCATCAATTTACTCAAATTGATCGTTGGTTCTTGTACAAATTACAAAATATTATTCAAACTAAGAAGGCATTGGTTGGAATTGGTAAATTATTGAATTCATTACCTGAACTTCCATATCCATTACTTTTACTTTCCAAACAACAAGGTTTCTCTGATTTACAAATTGCTTCAAGTTTACCTTCATTGTTATATCATGAATTTTTACAAGCAATTTTAAAGAATCAAGTTCAATTCCCATATCAATTATCATGTTTCAATAATAATACTAATACTAATAATAATAGTAATAATACTACTACTGATAATACTAATAATACTACTAATAATAATACTAATAATACTCAACCACAATATAAAGATACCTATAAAAATCCACCTAAATTAAGTAAGATTGATAAAGAATTAATGGTTAGATTTATTAGAAAGTATCAATATAAGATTGAACCAATTGTTAAACAAATTGATACATTAGCAGCAGAATATCCAGCACAAACAAATTATCTCTATACAACCTATAATGCAGGTATTAATAGTATTGGAAAGGAAGGAGGTGAAATGATTTATCCAGATCATTGTTATCATCATGATGTTTCATTTAATGATGAAGGTATAATTGTATTAGGAAGTGGTGTTTATAGAATTGGTAGTAGTGTTGAATTTGATTATTGTGGTGTGATGAGTGTTAGAGAATTGAAGAGATTAAATTACAAGACTATAATGATTAATTATAATCCTGAAACTGTTTCAACTGATTATGATGAACCTGATCGTTTATATTTTGAAGAATTAAGTTTAGAAAGAGTTTTAGATATTTATGAATTGGAACATTCACAAGGTGTTATTGTTAGTGTTGGTGGTCAACAACCTAATAATATTGTTTTACCTTTGGATAAACAATGTCATGTTAAAATTTTAGGAACTAGTTCAGATTCAATTGATAAATGTGAAGATCGTTCTAAATTTTCACAACTCTTAGATTCACTTGTTAATGAAAAGACAGGTGACAAATTGGTTTATCAACCTGAATGGGCTAATTTAATTACTATTGAAGATGCTTTAATTTTTGCTAATAAGGTTCAATATCCTGTTTTAATTAGACCTTCATATGTTTTATCAGGTGCTGCAATGAATGTTGCTTATTCAGATTCTGAATTATTACAACAATTATATATGGCTGCTGACGTTTCTAAAGAACATCCAGTTGTCATTTCTAAATTTTATGAAAATGCTAAAGAAATTGAAATTGATGGTGTTGCAATGAATGGTGAAATTATTATTGATGCAATTAGTGAACATGTTGAAAGAGCAGGTACTCACTCTGGTGATGCTACTCTAATTTGTCCACCTTATTCATTGAGTTTTGATATTCAAGATTTAATTAGAGAAAAGGCATCAATGATTGTTAAATCTTTATCAATTAGTGGTCCATTTAATATGCAATTCTTATTTGATAATGAATGTATTCATGATGATGATCAAGAAGAAGAAGAAGAACATGGACAACAACAAGGAATGACTCAATCATTCTCAACAAATTCACTAGATGGATATGATGATAGTTTTGAATCTGAATCTTTATATTTGAAATTATCAAAGAGATTACGTGTTATTGAATGTAATTTGAGAGCAAGTAGATCATTCCCATTCATTAGTAAGACTTTAGATTTGGATTTTATTGCATTGGCTACTAGAATCTTTACTCATCATTTCAATTTACCATCTTCTTCTTCATCATTAGCATCATCATTGGTCAATTCAAATACCATCACAAGCTTACCAGGTAGTAATGTTCCAACTAGAAATTATTATCAACAAATGAATTTACTTGAACAAATTACAATGAAACGTGAACAAGTTGAATCCATTACACATTCTAATACATCATCATTACAAAATAATAGTAATGGTAAAACTGATGATAATGATAGATAGTATTATTACAAAAGAATTTGAAATTATTCAAAGAAAGAGATTTTCCAAATCATTCTATGGATGTAAAGCTCCAATGTTTTCATTTAGAAGATTATTAGATTGTGATCCAAAGTTGGGAGTTGAAATGGCAAGTACAGGTGAAGTAGCATGTTTTGGACAAACAGTTAGAGATGCCTTCTTAAAAGGAATGATGAGTGCCTTCCCTAATTTACCAAATATAGATACAGATAGAAAATCAGTTTTAATTGCTTCATTCCCACATTCAACACGTACAAATATGGATTTAATTAATCATATTTTACAATCCATTTATATTTTATATCAACATTTGAGATTTACAATTTATGTTACTCCATATGTTGGTGAGAAATTATCTCAACAATTACCAAATGTTAAATATCATACTTTACAATTACAACAATATGTTCCACTCATTGATCAACAAGAATTATCTGCTACGTCATCTGCTACATCTTTAATGAGATTTAATGGTATTTGTTTAGCATCTCAATTGAAACTTGAAGAAGAATCTGAAATTTTACGTAAAATTGGAAGTGAAATTGATTTAATTATTGATGTTCCATTCCCAGATCATAATCAAAAACTTTTACAACAACATTATTTAATTAGAAGAAAGGCAATTAATTATGACAAACATTTATTCAATAATTATGAAGTTTTTAATTTATATGTTAAATGTATGAAGGATTTAAAGGATAGAAAATTAACTTTGGATTCTCTTTCTGTTAATCCATACACTCATTATATTAATATTCAAAAACAACATTTAAATTTGTAAATTTATGTTTTCCTTAATACAACTTAACAAATTAATTTAATTTATCTAGATAGACATTAGAGTAATAATAATATCAAGTGAGAGAGAAATTGTTAAAGTAATAAAGTCATTAATAACATCAAAGCAATAATTGAAAAAAGCTCCAACTTGAATTTTCCATCACCTAATTGATTAGCAGTTGAATTTCTTTTCGATTCCATTATTACACCAACATTGGTTGCAATGCATTTTCCATTCTGACAAATTGAACCAGTTACACAACTCACTGCAGCACACGATGAATCATCACTTCCAACTGCTACTATCCTATTATTATTATTATTCAATATTGGAACACACTTTCCATTCTCACAATAGGATCCTACTAAACAACTCACTGCAGCACACGATGAATCAGTATTCAATTTAAGATCGGAATTAGTTTCACTACATTTAGTAACAATGGTGAGGAGAGAAAATAAACACAAACAACACAACAACAATATCAAATTAATAAGGTTGGTTGTACTTTGAGAGCGTTTGTTTGATTGTTGCATTTTTTTAAAAAGAATTTTAATTTGATTTGAATTGGAATCTCAACCTTAAGCTGATGATTTGTACTAACCAATTAAATTCACTGAAAAGATAATGTTTACAATATGAGAAAAAAAAGTATTGGATGCGACACGTTTCGATCGTGTGACCAGGGGGAATGAGGTATCGAAAGACAACTCTAGTGACACAATACTAGGCGGTACAAACCATTATTATCACAATGGAACATGCGTGCCAGAAGTGTACTACCCTTGCTCTCCCATCTGAGCTACACAGCCATGGACCATTTTATTATGAAACATGGAATTATAAATCTGCTGAATAAATCAAGTTGATATTTTGGTTACAAATTAAAAAATTATGATCTATGTGATCATGTGCATGAACATTCTCCTAATGGCATAAATCTCTAAATTTTGTCTTGTTTGAAACAAATTGACAAGCAAATCAGATATCTAATAAGAAAGTTATATAAATTAAAATATTAAAAAAAATGCAACAATATGATGACTCGGAGGAGGAAATTATTCAATCAACACATCATCACAATGATGATTCGGATGATTATATGAATAATGAACATGATGATGATGATGATTATGAACAACAACAACAACAATATGAACATGATAATAATAACAATAATAATAATAATAATAATAATAATGAAATAATAAATCCATCAATAGATAGATATCCCTATTGTATTGTATGGACACCAATACCATTAATAACATGGATATTACCATTTATTGGACATATGGGTATTGCTAATTCAAAAGGTATAATTCATGATTTTGCAGGACCCTATTATATTAGTATTGATGATTTTGCATTTGGAAAACCAACTCGATATTTAAATATTAAAAATCAATTAAATCAAGAACAATTAAAAAACTATGATCAAACTATTAAGAGTAGTGCTAAATGTTTTAGATCTAAAATGTATAATTTCTTTTGTCAGAATTGTCATCATTATACTATACATTGTTTAAATCAATTGAAATTTAAAAATGGAAATATTTCTATATTTGAAATTGGATTTTTAATGTTTTTTTATGGTAAATATGTTAATGGTATGAGTGGTCTATTGAAAACTTGGTTACCTTTTATTATTTTATTTGGAATGGTATGTTTTTAATATTATTAAATTTTAGTATTATAATAATAATATTATTTAATAATATTAATATATTATTTAATATAATATTATACAATGATGATAATGATGAATATATTTAATAGGCATTGGGTTTTTTCATATTCATTCGATTAACAATAGCAAGATTGTAAACGCAATTAATATTCGTATTCATTTTTACACAATTTGACAATATTGTTATCATTAAATTAGATATTACTTGTAATTCTTTATTAAAAACCAAATATCAACATCCATCAAAAGCAATACAAGATAATTTAAATATATTATAAAAAATCAAAGTCAATATGAATCACCTCCTATAAATTATCTATATTCAATATTAGATACAATAAGAGATAAACAAATATTAAATGTATTAATTTAAATCCAAAATTTTTATTTTTTTTTGAATATTTAAAACAAGAAATGTTATTGAACCAATATTATTTGATAATAAATTTGATTATAAAATGAGTTATTGTGATAGATTAGATATGGAAAGTATGATATTTAAAAAGGATAATCATGTATTTAGAGATTTAAATTTTGTTACTAAATTAATAATCAACAATTATTATATAAAATTGATCATTTAAAATTGATAGTAAATAGATTTATGGGTGAAGAATTACAAAATGATAGAGAATTAATTAAGGAAGTCAATCTCAATTTCCTTTATAAAATTACACCACAATCCAACCCAAATCTTAGGCTTGTTCAATTAGATGATCATCACTATTGTGTGAATGAAACTGTTGAGTGTGAAATTTCAACCACCTCAACCAGCAAAGGGAGCAGGAACAGCAAACAGTTTAAATCCAATATGTCAAAATATAGAGTACTAATTAACAAGAAACACTTCAACAATAACAATATAACAAAAAAGGAGGTTAATCTTAATTTTATGACAGTATTATAAAAATAATTGGATCCAATGAATCATCATTCTTTTTATAAAATCATCTCTTCTCTATTACTTTCCTCCAAATAAATATTTAATTTTCTTTTAAATCTAATAATTTCATGATATGATTTTGTATCCATCATATTCATTGATAATGTTGTTGATGATGATATTATAGTAAATAATTTTTCCAAATATTCAAAAATTGTAAAAACTCTACTTTTACAAAATTTACTTCTCTCCATTAAATCATCTAAAACTCTAATAAAAGATAGAGAATAATAAATCAACCAATCCAATCTAAAATCATTAATATTTAATAATTCAATGAATTGACAATTAAGAAATGCAAATTTATCACATAAAAAATCAGAACAATATGGATAAATAATCATACATGTTAAACATCTCAATTCAATACAAGATAAATCTTTTGATAATTCATTAATTCTTGATAATAAAATAGATAATGAATTTGGATTTTCTTCATTACAAATATCAATTATTAAAATAGTATGTAATAAATAAGACATTTCTAAACAATAGGTATCTAATATCATATTAATTAAATATGATACTAATGTTATTGTAATATCATTTTTACATTCAATTGAATAATTATATAATTTTTTAGTATTATATAATTTAATTAACCATTCTAAATATGGTACTATACAATTATTTTCAATTACACAACTACGAAATGTTTTTGGTAAAATATTAATTATATTATTAATTGAATTAAATAATTCTTCATTAATTGGTATATTATCAAATATTTTTACTATATATAGATAATTATTTAATATAAATGTTTCATTTACTAAATCTGTTATTGTTAAATCATTTAAATAATTTAATATTCTTGTTAAAATTTCAATTTCATTTTTTATCATTTCTTTAAAATAATTAAAATCTTTTTCAAATAATAAAATAATAAATTTAATTGGAATTTCATTTTTAAATAAATTTATAATTATATTTTTTATATTTTTATATAATTCAATAGAAGAAATTGAAATTAAATTATTAATTGGAAAAATTAAATCATTTTCATTTTTTAAATCATTTATAAATGATTCAAACATTTTTATAGTAATTTCCATATTTGGAATATAATTTAAATTTAATATTTTATCAATTAAAATAAAAAAATAAATCTTTTCATTTTTTAACATTAAATTATAATAATTAAATAATAAATTTAAAATATTATTAATATCTATAATAGTAGAATTTAATTCCAAAATTGAAATTATTGATCTTAGTATTTGTAATCTAACTTGTTCTATATTTACATTTTTATTTACATTTTTATCAATTAAATTATTAAATTGTTTTAATAAATATGGAATAAATTTAATCATTTCATTATTTTTAATATTTTTAATAAAATTTAATATTTTTAATTGAATTACAATAATACTAGTTCCATATGAATATTTACATTCAGGTATAATTTTAATATTTATAGGTAAATCTTCTATTTGTTTAAAATCTCTTTCTAATAAATTAATTAAATTATTTT